AACCCCGTATCCATTCAACTTCGCCGAGTTCCAACCTCACGTAGTCGGGAATTATACCATACCTCTGATTCCCTGGGAGCAGTACAGTGGAGGTGCTCAGTGCTCGGTAGGAGGGATGGCCTGTGATATGATCCGCAATGATTATCTTCCATGGATGGGCATTCCTGAAGGGGTAATGACCCAGATTGATCCCCGGTGGACCGAGTGCTCTCGGCTGTGGTACATTCCCCCGGTCAGTTTGGTTTCATTGGGGGTTGGTGCGATGGAATCCCGACCGACAGGCATGGCTGAGGCGAGCATCCCGCAGGCTGCCTCAGCATCGCCCGTGTCGGCTCTTGTGGCACCCACCCCAGAGTCTACTAACGACCATTGACTTAAGAATGTAATGGGTGCCATTGTGAGTTATTTATAGGGAGAGAAACAGTGGCGGTACTGGCTAATTGCCGGTGACGAATTCTGCCTTTTTGTGATATTGAGCTTTGAAACATATCACCAGAAACTTGAAAATCATGGACCAGAAACTATACTAATCTGCTTAGTCGAAATTATCGGATATATCGGACGAGCCATGTCCAGCAAACAGACCCCCGGTTAGACTCTTGAACCGTATATCGTGCAGATACTCTTTCTTTTGTTGGCGCTAGCCTTCTTAGCGGCCTCGGTATACCTGTTCATTAGTCGCATCACTCTGACGTTACAAGCGGAGTCATGTGCCTTATTGAGGAGGAAATGGTTGAAGATTTTTCTTACGGGCGATGTGCTCTCATTCTTATTGCAAGGAGCTGAGAAGGACCTCCTATCAGGAATTCAAAGAATGGAGCAGCAAGTTAATCTAATCTATCTGGTGGCGTTCAGAGCAGTGTAAGTTTCGAGAACATGAATAGATATTGTTGGACGTAAATCTGATATATACTTAAAACCAGATAAGTTTATATAGCCTATACTTACTTCATTGTCTCTGCGCATACCATTTTTTAGATCAGTACACGTGCTGATAATTCCGACGAGCTTCGGGAACAACCTCCATACCTGCAGCCCCCAAAATTTCTCCACCGACTGCGTAGTGGGTATCTGGAGGTATAGAGCCTGTCCAAATAGACAACTGAGCACATAGGGGGCTGCCCAACATGAAGTGATTAGCAGGGGGTGTGGAAGTTGAAATCATTAATAAGGAGAGACAAATATACTCAAAGCCGACTTGCTACCCTAGGATCATTTTCCTATCAGATTCATAGAGCCTCCCACACATGTGTTTCAACTCGCCAGATTCAATCTGGGCTAGTTTTTCACCAAGCTCCACGGCACTCATCTCATCCCGATAGAGAAACAGTAGCGGCAACGGATCATTCCTCCACTTAGGAACTCGCGCCCCCCGAGTCTTCCAGATTGTGCCCACCAACGCGACTGCTCCGAGGATCCAAACTAACACCGGTAACCCGATCCATTGCCAGTGGACAGAGACATATGTTACACTCGTTAGAACACGACCAGTGGCCATTTTTGCGTTATCAGGGTTCAAAGCTGCCCCGATATATGGAGAGTCTCGAAAAGACTTTGAGATTGCAGCCGCAATGTTTTGCATAACGCATTGCAACCTAGTCGCTGATTCCAGGCTGCAACCGACAATGTCTCCCTGGCCAATGGCCCGGAAAATGTCGTATGCGGCGTAACTGTCAGCTTTCTCTGTGGGGGTGTATTCATGCATGAAAAAACATATGACTACCGGCAGAATCAACCAGATCATCAGGTCCTGGCATCAAGGTGCGGAAGGAATCTCCCGATAAGACAGAGGATATAAACTGACTGATGGTGAGTCTGGTGTCGAAGCTCAGGAAAAAGGTTTGATTTGGTTGCATTCCCATATCAATCCCCGCCGGGGGAGATAGATGATAACCATCCCGCTCATTACTGGATGTGGTCATAGTATTCCAGACTGCCAGTGTGTCATCGGCAAAGACGTTGTCTTGAACAGAGGGCCTAGAGACGCGGACGACAGGCTCAATGACACATTCTGTTGCATCCCACGTGTCGAGGTCTTCCAACCTCCACATGTTGAGGTCAGTGGCCCGATCAGAGAGCATTGAGATATTTGCGACTCGAGGAGTGATGAACTGTATCGGAGACATGGTCGCATTGGTGTAAACCAAGGAGAGCGTGGGGTCGATCCCAGCGCTAACAAAGCCATTCAATCCGGTGACACCGTCGCCCTCGTCTAGATACTTAGTGAACAATGCAGTTGTGTTGCTCTTAGGGAGACTGATACTGCACTTCATCATGTTTCGCTCCTCGTACCCACATGACTTGCCGAGGTGTTTCGTAACGTTTGCGCAGAGGGCGCGAGTCTCCCAAGATGCAACCACATCCCATGTGCAATTGGCCGAGCTGCAGGAATACTGTGGGATAGCCCAGGTTCTTTTCCGGTCAGGGTTCAGAAGTGAACTGTAGACATTCATTTTAAGCACGGGATCGACCCATAAAACTAGTCATATCGTCAGTCCGGCCAGCGGAATATTGGGGGTTGAACCTACTCCCAGATGAACCGAAAAAACCATGGCTATCAACCGTGGATATATTACCCACGAGAGCAATTCTCGATGTATCTGCCGTCATTTTTTGTTGATAGTGAATCAGATTTTGAGTAAACGGATCAAAGCCCAGTGCCAGGATCACCGCCAAGCAGCTCAGGGCAGCAAAATGCCTGTACGCCGTGTCAATCATCGTTTATAGGGCCGATCGTAATGACCAACCTAGCTTGTAATCTCCAAATCAGCTTTATAGCACCATAAAATCCTCGACTCGCTGTATCAAATCGACGGAGGTCGGGTATTGGCCGCGCTGCCTGCATGAACCACGTCCACTTCATCTGGCCAAGGGCCTCGCTGATGGAAAATAGGATGCAGCCTTTGGAGGCAGTGCTCAGCCAGGAGATGAGCGAGTTGAGGGACATATATCTCCACCTCGGTTCAGGCGTGTCGGCATAAGAGGCCAAGATAGCGACTATGGCAATTAGGATGGTACCGGAGATACCGACTCCTAGGACCTCCCAGACATACCAGTCGCTCTCGAATGGTCTCTGTGAGCCCTTGTTGGCTTTCTCCACAGCCTCCTGGGACGAAGCAGAAAGAGGATTGTTTAGCTCTTGTCGCGACTCGGGGTAAGCGTCTGTGTTATCATGATCTTTTGCCCTTGCGTCGAGCAGCTCGTAGGTAGGACTTGCGGTCCCTGTGCTTCGTGACATCCTGCTGTAGTTTTCGAGGTCTACCTGCGATTGATGACAGAAAGATGGGACGCTAATTTCTGATATATCACCTAGGGGAAGGGGGCAAGGCTGACACGGCTGACAGAAGATCTCTCGGACAACTACCTAACCTCTTTGTGCATTAGCCCACTTGCGCTTTTCAAAATCCGTGGTCAATTTCAGTCCACCATATATAATAAGATTAAACCTAGACTATATGCGGCCCGCTCCGCCTTCGGTTGAATCACCCGGACCAGATCTGCGAGCTTCTCACCAGATCATGATTATTGAATTCGGCCGCTTACGATGTCGTCAATTTTCCAGACCGAATGAAAAACCAATGACGGCGTGGAATTCATCATTTAGGGGTGGGTTGCATTCTGGAGCGACCACCCCTTCTCCTGTCTCAGGCGACACGCTAAAACCCTTGTTCATGATTTCAAACTCGTTGGGGCCAACAGGAGTAAGAGTATAATGGTAATAAGAGTTGTCTTCCTTAAACAGATCGCTTAGCACTACGAATAGGAACATTACATCAGAGGGTAAATGCATCATGTCAGGGAGAGGACAGTATGTAGAATGTTAGGATGGTGGTGCTTTGTGTCGATATGTCCTCTGTACGCGTACTTTTGTAGAGGCGCCACCCACGTGTTGGCTCCAGCCGCACGCTTCACCGAATAAAGTACTAGCGGGAAGATATAGGAAGCCCTTATCATATGAACTAGTCAAGTAGATAACTCTTTCTAATATGATCTGCGCAGATGACGGAGCACCACGACATGTATGACGCCTCTCTACCCTATTGTAACCTCTCCATATAATTTCCATATCGTTATACTTCCGGTACATACGACCACAGGGTGTGGAGAACAGGGCTTCCCGTCCGCTCAGCCGTACTTAAGCCACACGCCGGCCGGTTAGTAGTTGGGTGGGTGACCACCAGCGAATCCCGGCTGTTGTATGTTTTTTTTATAAACTTATACTGTGTGACTAACGGAGAGTCATCCTCAACTAAGTACACGGATAAGCGGGATTGATTCAGTGACCCGTCTCCACCCTCTTCTTGCCGACCCCCTTAGCCCTCTACGCCGGTGTCAGCAAGCAGTGGCAGGGTCTGATCGAAAGGAGGACCTTTTCCGAACTCCACCTCACCACCGCTCGCCTCCCCGACTTCCAACGGATTGTCGGTCCCTCTCGATACTCGATCGTCCGACAGATTCAATTTATTGCCACTTTACCCGAGTATGAAATTGCTGCCCGGTCAAAGTTTGAAGGGGACGAGGATCGAGAGCGGAACAACCAGGCCTTTAGCATGGCCATATCTTCTCTATTCCATGCGCTGCACTCCTGGCCAGATAGGAGTCAGGTGACGCTCACTATCTTCGCGCAGTCTCCCAGTGACTGGTATGCGGAACCGGATAAGGAGAAACGCATGAAGCGATACGATGTGGGAAGCCTTTGGGGTCGTGATCTCCTAGACCATCGATATGAACGGTCGTACTTGCAATGGTCTGCACAGGATATGCCATCTGTGAACGCGGTAGTGGCCTTGAACATCATCGGAGAGGGCGACTGTCGACGAATTTCCCCAGCCGCAGTGGCGAGGATTGCCTGCCGCTTGCCTCGGCTGCGAAAGATAGACTGCATGCTGTGCGACAATGAACGCAAGGACCTCGTGCTGAGGGATTCGTTGCGTGATGGTACAGTCTCCCCAGATATCCCTCTGCTCATCTCATATTTTGACTACTACTCTTTATAATACAGGGTTTGCCCTTTCCTTGCGCGACTGGCCTGCTTTGATTGAGTATCTTCATTTAGAATACCGTTGTGACCCTCCACTAAACGAGAACAAGATCCCGCCTAGGAGATCCGAGGCAGGCAAGGACGCCCTTTGCCTGGCGCTCCACCGCCTAAGCCAGCAACTAGTCACGCTTGAGCTGGAAGAGATTACCATCGGTCCAGAGCTGTTCTGGCCCCCCGAGACTCAAAAGAATCCCCCTCCACAGTGGCCAAAACTCACACGGCTGATGATCACGTATATGTCCGCTACACCATCCGGTCACTGGCTTTTTGAACGTGACCCACGGTGCCCAATCTGGAATCAAGAGGATGAGCCCACGTTCGAAGAGATTGCAGAAGGCCAGTCCGATCACTATGTACCAGCTAGGGAAGACTACCCTGTGGATAGGTTCAGAAGCAAACCATTACCTTTGATGAATGAGATTTATAAGGCCGCGGGTCTTGCGGCGCAACATATGCCCCTGCTCAAGGACATGGCCATGGCCGCCCAAATCCAGGGCACGTCCATTGAGGTGCGTGCAGGATCTGCGGAGCATCTGTTTAAATACACGCGGGGAACGGCGCGGGTCAAATGGGTCGGGGTGTCCGAGTTCCGTCCCACAAAGGAAGTGATGGATATCTGGAAGGGTGTGGGAAGAGAGCACGGCCTCGATCGGGTCCAGATTGAAGTGAGTTTCCGTGTCTTTTGTATTTGTTGTTGTGATGTGGTGCTAATATTGATGTTTGCCAGAGTATTGGCTTGGATCGCTTGCCTGCTCTGTTCTCTTACGACCTTGATGACGAGTTCTTCGACAAGTATAGGACAGAAGAACACGGATACGTGTTATGGGACACGGCTTGAAGTTGAGTCTATTGGATCTGGTTTGCTACATTCAATACCGGTTAACAGAGTGCACCTGATACCGGCGATATGAAGGAGATGAAGATTTTAACAAACAGATGGGGATATTGATGATGCACAGGAGGGGCGCGTGGTCCAAAGCATGGCCTTTTCCAAGCCAGAAGCACGAGAGCTGGGACCATAGCTATTAATATTCTGAATATGTAGACTATTATACTAATAAAGATTCGGGGCTTAAATAATAAGTCCCTTGCTACTAGGCTATAAGATGTACCACTCATCTACTGGTAGTCACAGAATCTTGATGTCTCAAAACACTGCCTCCAGCACTGGACAGCTCCGCTACCTGAACATTTCCTTATGGACATATAGAAACTCCACCACTTCATCGCTACGCTTGCTCCCAGCTGCCGCGTTGAGCACCTTTTCAGTAATCCGAATCTCGTCTGACTTTCTCTCAAAAAGAAGCGTCAAAAGCTGCTTCCCGTACCACTGTTGAGCTGCTGCAACCAAGATGCCTTCTGTAACGTGGAAATCCTGGCCTCTTTTATCTAGCAATGCCTTCAGTGCTCCTCTCCCCTTCCTTACAACATGTAAGACCAGTTCTTCACTGATTTGGAGCCTGCCCCGTGTTTGACTGAGTAGCAACATGAGCATTGAATGACCGCCTTTGTTCCGAGCTGCCGCAATGAGTGTGGAGTCTGTCAACGTGACCGAACCTTGCGTGCTATCAAGGAGGAGCTTCATTGTTTCGGGATCACATAACTCGGCCACCTGAGTGACCGTGTCATCTCTGACGTTCACCTTGCTTCTTCTGGTGTGGAAAAGAAGGCGCAAGATGTCTTTACCATGCTGGTTCTTCAGAGTAGCAGTGATCATTCCCTCGGGGATTTCAACACTGCGCTGCATGGAATCAAGGACGAGCGACATGATCTCAGCATCGAAATATCTTGCTACCTCAACCACCACATTGTCAGATAACCGATTCTTGTCGATTTCACGTCCGAGAAGGAGCATCATAATATCCTTTCCAGACGGGGACCGCGCGGCCGCCACAACCACTTTTTCTGTAAGCCGAACTTCGTTGTGTCTACGCTGCAGCAGGAGTCGTATCACACCGTCTCCGTATTTATGGCCAGCAGCAGCAGCAACAACGTCGTCGGTGATCTTGATGTCGTTTCCTCGTTCCTCAAAGAGGATGCAGAGCACACCGCTTCCATAGCGGCTCCCTGCTGCTGCGATGAGTATATGCTCAGTAGGTCTGAACCTCTCACCTTCCTTGTCAAGTAACCTCTTCATGAATCCCTTGTCGCATTTGCCTGCAACCTGAACGTGTGCGGCTCGCGTAAACTGGACCTGTTCATATTCCTTCCTCATCAATAACCTCAAATGCTCCTCGCTCGCATGCTGCGTGGCCGCGACCACGGCCTCATCAATAACCGTCGTGGCTTTTCCTTGGTCAAGAAGAAGCTGGGGTATTTCACAACCGCTCTCAATGTTCTCCATTGCAGCGAGGAGAACGTTTTTTGGAAGTCGTATTTCATATCCACTTCTTTCAAGGAGCAACTTAATAACTGCCTTTCCGTGACTTCCATTCCGCGGAGCTGCAGCGATCACAGCATCTGTGATACGCGCTTCTCTTCCTTGGTATTCAAGGACGACTTCCATTATTTCCGCTCCACAGGGGTCCTTGGCTATCGTGATAAGCTGATCTTCCGTGACTTGAGCGTTGTGCCCTTCTCGCTCAAATGTAAGCATCGGGACATCCTTATCTGGTTTCCTAGTCGCCTTCGCCATTATATCCGCACAGGTATGCTTGTCGTTTCGCATCATATCGATGGTATCTTCCATCACTCTTAACTTTCGCGCCTCGCTCCAGCGGCCTTGCGCCCTGTAGACCATCGCCAGCGCGGAGAGACTGTTCATCGTGATTGTATCCAACTCCCTCCTCTTCCAAGCCAACTTTATTACTCGATCAAACAATGCCACTGCTGGCTCCATCTCATCCAGCTTCAACAGCAAGGATGCAGTCTTGTGCGCGCAGGTCAAAGTTCGCGGATCCTCCTCCCCCAGTTCAGTTACATGGGCTAGCAAAGAGTCTTGCACTCTTATGCTCGATTTTCTGAATTCCCAAGCATCGTCCAATATCAGTGCTACATGCCACAGGCGGGTCATCTCATGTGGACGAGTATCTGTCCATTGTGACGCCAGAGATTCCATCAAGGTCTTGTATTCAGAATGTTCCGATGATCTCTGTTCGGAGTCTTCCCAATCCCAGTATAGTAGAAAATCGTGCCCAGAGGCATTTTTAGGCACATTCAGCGGCATAGAGATATGGATTCTGACAACGATAAAGTAGTCTTTGCATAATCGGACAATAGATGGATTTTGTGCCCCGGAAAGCAGGCAGATGATATCGCCTTCTCTCACGGGATTCGAAAGTCTCTGCAGAGACAACGTACGCTTGCCCTCAGGACGCCTGGTTGCTGCTGTAGGTATAATTTCGATATCTTGGCTGTCGCTTGTATCACCACCGTCCACTTTGCACACCTTGCCAAGAACATATCCTTTCCCTTCAATGATTGCTGACTCGGCTGACACGTCAGAACCCAACAGGAAAACAATTATTTTCCGCAGAACCTCACTCCATCGGAGCGCATAATTGGGTATTAACCCAGCCGAAATAGGGTTGTCGGAACTCATACCTAGCAGCGCAAAAATCTTATCGTGACGCTCAGTTGCCTCGTGGCGGTTGTACATTTCGATCAACTCGCCCAGAGGCAGTATACGGAGAGAAAAGTTCCCTGAGTTCGACGCGCTTTCCATGATTCTCGGCCTGAAGATCGCCCTTCTCACGATGTCGATTACAGGAGCTACCAAGCGCTGCAGGACTATAAGCCCAGGGTATTGATAGCTTAACACTCTTAACCCAGCACTAAATGTGTACCCGTCAAGATCCACAAATCCGCAGTGCAGTCGGATCTGCCTGGCTGCCGCCACTTCCTGAAGGACCTGCATAAAACCATATTAGCCTCACACGATTAGTATGGTTCGTGAATGCCGACTCACCCAGATGCGCCTAAACCACGGCCGTCCTAAAACCTCTTCAATCCCCGCCCATACAGACGCATGGCACCGCGGGAACGTCCCGTCGCCGGCAGCTCTGCGTATTGTCTCCAGCATTATGTCGCTATGAGTCGAAGCCTGTCCGAGCCAAACGACCACACAAGCTGCATGGCTATGGATCTTGGCCATAAGCTGGACCTGCTCACCACGCTCTTTCAGGTCTGCCTGATTTATACAAATCGCATCGATCCACACGATCCGTTCGATCGCAGTATCTCGCAGATGTAACAGGGCCTCGTGGAGGTTGGCGGTCACCGCCAGGTACTGATCGTCAATGAAGATAGTCTGGGACTTGTCGGTGATCCCCCACACATATGATAGTGCTTCGTATAGGTGACCTCCTTTGCGTTGATCCGAAAGAGAATAATCGAAGAGGTGACATCGAATAGGGGCGGTGTCCCCGCGAGCCGGGAGTATACGGAGCAAACGGATATTGTTGGGCCTTGGTGGAAGCGGGCTGTACTGATACGCAGACAATTCAGGGACTATTTCCGACACGTCTTGCATCTTGCAGAGGGTTAGACGTATCCGGATAGCATTTGACCAAAAAGATCAGTCAGGGAGAAAAGGGATCCAGCTGCGTGTTGAATTGAAGACCCTCGGCATCCAGTACACTTAGAATGCCAGTATCTCTGTGAGCCCAGATTCCTTCAGCTAAGTCTAAGACTGTGCTCCGCTGAAGGCATGTTTGGGTGTGATTTTTCAAGTGGGGTCTTGCCTGCAAAAGAAAGACGGCTGGCGCTTCGATGCCGTCAGTCTTCTTGCTGTGATCGGGGAGTCGATAATCGGACGACAGAAGCACTTTATTACAGCAACTGGACCATAAAAACAGGCATCACTCCAAATACAAAGAATTGGCGTGGCTGGCTACGTGAGGCGAAGGAGAGTATCACCAATAGAGACTGGCACCCTATCGCAGCAAAAGACCGCTGGATGGACACTACATTTGCTACTCCTGGGATTGATGAAAATGCCAAATAATTATCGACATAAACTTTTATTTACGGCGGGAAATATATATTCTCTAGTAATTGGAGGACTGTAAGTTTCCTTATACACGTGCATGCCGTGACGGATCCAAGTTGTGAACAGACAGATGGTCGTCTAGTCCTAGACTACTAACGAGCTCACTGACAAGCCTCCTCTGCCTCTTTTCTCCCCTTTTTTCTCTCCTCTCCAATCGAATTCAAGCAGTCCAACAGAATTCAATTCCTCTGTCTGCGCACGACTCGGCAAAAGGTCCCTCCGGAATGATTGGCAAAAGTTTTCTCGTCGATGGAGCGAGGCAGATCGATACCTGTCCTGATTGATGAATATTTGATCCCGCGCCTGCATGTAAGGAACGCATCATAATCCAGGGAGCCCCATGGGACAACATTTTGGACACCTCGTTCCTGCAGAATGTTGTAAATCTGGACTGTCTTGTCTCTCACAGATCGATCAAAGGCTTCCTTCTCTGCCTCTCCCTCTGGCTCGGGCCAGAGGTTTTCTATGGCAAAACAGGTTCCTGCGAAAAGAGAAAATAAGGCGCTTCCGTATGGTGGACCAACGATGTTTGGATCGGCACCATTTGCGAGTAAAAGTTTCACGGTGTCAACATGACCATAGTATGCTGCAGCTTGGAGGGCCGTAGTGAAATTGCAGGCATCGTCATCCATCTCCCAAGCCCATGGTTCAACAGCTGCGATTGGAGAATCAGCTGCAACACCAAGATCTAGGATTTCACGAGTCATGTCGGCGCTGGAAACTGCTGCGACCAAAAGATTACCTGCGGAAAGGCAGGTAGGATCACTCGGCTCAACTCGAGCACCCTTGCTGACCATGCATCTTGCAATATCCAGCCAGCCATTACTGAGCGCCATGGCGAGCGGTGTGTTGTAGAGACCCCCAAGATCTGGATTCAGGTCGGCCCCGTGCTGGATCAGCAGGTTACAGATTTCACGGTGTTCATCAAGAGGCCCGTCTTCCAGTCCAGTTAGAGAGTACGCCAAAGCGCTGCCTCTGACATGAGCGCCCTTGGAGAGAAGCAGCTCCACTGTCCGAATCTTGCCATGCATAGTAGCTGCGGTCAATGCATCAGTCGCATCAGTGGGATCATCGACATCTATCAGCCGGTTGATGTCTGCACGGAAGTCCAGAAGAACTTGGCAAACATGGTTATAGCCCATTGAAGCTGCCACGATCAATGGAACCTCTCCTTCTATTTGCTCATTGGCCACAGCCCCAGCGTCCAGTAATTGTTGGCAAATTAACCGGGACCCTTCACGTACTGCGTCCATCAGACCATCAGATGGATTGGCACCACTGTCCAAAAGGTAACTGATTAGATCGCTATTTCGGCGTCTGCATGCAACTGACAAAGCGGTATCACCAAATTCTCCGCACGCATTTTTATCAGCACCGTTATCTATGAGAAGTCGTGCTATGGAGGTATGCCCGAATTCTATGGCTTTTATAAGCGCCGTACCACGAGTGGGGTAGAGAACTCTGAACCCCGAGCATTCATCACACGCATCCCCTTCTTGGAAACACTTTTTGGGCTTGAGCTTGATATCTTGTATCACATGGAGATCACCTGGCCTTTGTGGTAATAGGAGGCTGACCACTGACTCAAGACCCAGAGCAGCCGCCCATCCCAGAGGTGTGCGAAGAGTCCACCGTCGATGGGTGCAACTAAAGGGTACATCAGGAATCATGTGGTTATATATCAAGGTGACATATCTCCACATCTCGCCAGACTGAAGCAAGGTGGATGCCAAAGAAACCAGTCTCGGTTGCTCTTGCTCTCCAGCTGCAATCATGTGCTCGAACCAATAGCGGCATGCATATTCAAGAAGGGGAAACTGTTCGAGATCTTTTCTTGTACCTGATCGATTTTCACTGCAATAGCATTGATTGATATATGCAATGCAACTTTCTGCAATCAAAGCATGTCCCGAATGATCGTGGAACCCATATGATGAACATGAGGTATGCTTGAGAGCTTCAGAAGTAAGACACTCTTTGACTGAGAAATGGGATAGAGCCAGGTAGTTGTTGTCCATTCCAGTCCGGCGGACAAGTCCGGATAGACACGGCAAGATCCCTTCTCCCTCCAGTCTGTCTTCCTCTGCTATAGCTGGCCTATTCTGCGGCGAGATAATACAGCTCTCGTTGACCTCGACTAAGCGGAGCGGTCTAAGGGAAAGTGAAAGCCATAAGAGGGCCCTTGCTGCTTCACTTGAAAGCAGGTGGTGGATATTTTGCAGTATTCTGACATACGTACCGTCCAGTCTCGGTGGCATAGATTTCAGGATACGGTCGATATCCTTCAGTCTAGGGGTAGGTAATTTCGTGAGCTCTATCATCTGGAGGTGGACCCATAGAAACCTGCGAGGTCAGTGTGAGCGATAATCGTTTCTAGTCTCTCGATGATAAACCCGGGTGCTTACATTCCACCAGACAAACTGATCATGTCGTTGAGGGTTTTTGAGAGAGAATGGCCAGGGACTTTGCTCAGGACGCGGTTTTTTTTGAACTGCGCTTCGAGGTACGAGAACATGTCGTCACGATTGCTCATCGCGTCTATGCTAACGATCCCTATTGACGGGATAGTAGCTGCAAAATCTTCGATATCTCGAGAGCTGGAGTTACTTCGACTCGCAAACAGAATGTGCACGTGCCGATGGCGGTTAGAAGTTTCCATGATCCAGTTCAGAACACGACTTCTTTGGTATTCGTCAGGATCGTTAGGCAATTCATCAAGAGCATCAAGGACGATATATATCGTTTTGCATCGCTTGAGGCACTCAATGGCCGAATCCAGTGCGAGTTCAATGTCGTTATACGCCAGAGGTCTGCTTGCTGTGGGTCCGTTGAACTTTTCGTACAGTTCCTCAACATGCTGGAGAACGCGTTCATTCACACACATTTGCCTTAATAGGGACGAGAGGCACAGAAGTGGATTGGGCCGATGGGCGTCAGCAAACGAGAAGAAGAAGTGCAGAAGGATATTGTCAGACTGTGCTGTGCAGTAGGATTGCAGGTGCTCGATTACTGCAGAGCTGGGTTCGAAGTCAGCCAGAATCCCTAGAATGGCTATCTGCGTATAAAGATGTCTGGGATTTACCATAGAAATGACTTTCCGCAACCAACTATGAGATGGAATCATTAGTCGAGTGCAGTCAGTGGGATGGACAGTAGGATACACACCCTCGCCCTTCACCCACAGCAGGGGCCCTGCAGATCTCCATCGCAGGTATTCTTGACCTTGAAGGAACCATTGACAAGTACCTGGATGTCTCCTAGACTCTCGCGACTGGTAGAGCATAAATGGATCTTGATCATAGAGCCATCCGAGGACTTCTTTGCGCTTTCGGTCTGTGACGATCGGGGACGGTTCAGATGTTGTCTTCGTATACTCTTTAACCATGGAGAACGCAACACGAACCTTGTACAGACGCTTTTAGAATATTCTTGTTCTCTCCCACATCGGCCCCTATTTGAGAGATATCACACGATAACTGAGACATGTGCTGAGCGAGAGTCTCTGATCCAGCAGCAGATGCATCACTAGTAATATTGTATAATCAATCAATATCTGACTGCAAAAGGGTACCGAGATGACCCACATATTCAACCCATTGAGAATAAGAACCAGATCCAATTTCTGTTCTCGAAGGAGATCTCGAAGCTTTAGGATAGTACTTTCCTTCAAAGGGTATTTAACCCTCTCAAACTCGGACCTGGCGCGAGCAAGAAAGCCACTGGTCGCTGTATCGTCCCTGACCTTTTTCACCTTCCTTTCCAACCTACTCATAGTGTTCTCACATCGCTCCACCGTACGCTTGAAGTCATCCGTTCCATTGCAACTGTGGAAGGACTGTCGCTTCACCGCCTCGTCCATAATTGTTAGCATCTGGCGCATCTCGCCCACAGAATTGCAGATGTCGTCTACATCTTCTCTGGAATGCCGCCATCCGTCGTAATACGTGAGGAGGTTTTGGGATATTTGTAGTCCCAGACTCACAAAGCCGGCAACTGCAGTGGCCAGATCCATGAAGCTGTCAGTGGCGATTATGGTGGTTTGATTGAGAAGATATACACCGGAGTATGTTGCGTTTCCTAGGCTGAGGGACAGCCCCCTATCCTTTTATCTGCGGAGGCTGGCAGGTAGCTAGTAACTAGCTACCTAGCCTTAGGCGAGCCTTGTTACTGCGCCACCATATGACGTATCCCTAGGCTATTGTACTGAGGGGCGGTGCACCTCTCCAGATGTGTCTTAATATATCGGATTATAGGCCGGCCGCGGTCGTGGCCGTCAGCAACATCGATTATTTTGGAGCTTTTAGAGACTATATACGAACATATTGATAAAAGGATACCGGCAGTGCTTGAAAGGCTTTATTCCTTGCATACTACAAGATACGTGTTTGTAGATTACTGACTTACCTATTTTATAAGCCTTTAAACCCTAGCGAGGAAGCTCTGGATTCTACGGGCTAGTCGCTCGTTCTTTAGCTAGTTCCCAGACAGGAAAGTTCATATACTGCCAGTATGGCCTACAAACCAAGGAAGAAGACATATCTCAGAGAAAGCTGTTTTCATTCAATAAAAAGTCTGTTGAAAAGCGGACACAATCGTCGCGTGCTCACATAATTTGTTCTCCCCTGCGTGGTAGTAACCGACCATCCTGGATACATCAACGATGTCATTAAACAGCGAAGGACTGTGTGGGATATTGAAATTGCGTTTAGCGGAGCACGATTCGGACGCGAATATAATATAAAAAGTCTAGGTAATTATAAAAGTGGAAAGCCTATGCCTTTGCTTTTGACCCCTTCTTTCTCCAAAAGCCAGGGAACTCATCCTCATCACAAAACTTCAACCAAGGGGGACGGCAATATTCCTCATACCAATCACTCGATTCCACAAGCCGTGTATAGATATCACAGTAATCCACCACACAGGTGTACATCCAGCCTACATCCTCGTGCTCTTCCGCCGTCTCGCCATCCTCGTAGTCCGGATGTACAACATAATCCCGCTCATCAGGTCCGCGGATTCCAAAAAACCGACACAGCAATTTGATAGTTGGCAAGCTCATTCGATCTAATGACTCGAGAGCGATGTCATCGACAAATAGGCAGAAGTTGTACCGTGTCCCGAGCGTCATCTCCACGTCGATCGAGCTCTCTCCGCCGTTCACAGGGGATTTTCGTTGCTCGCTGTCTTTTAACACGTTAACACGGCAGACAGTTCGCTAGACACCCAAGACTGGAAATGGTCGCGGACCATGTGGCTGGTAGCACCATCGAACCGAGTTGCGTCGTCCATGATAGTGAGACGGTGGCGGCTCAGGAGGTCAATCCGTCTGTTAAGCGTGAGGGATTCCTCTACACTAGATGTAATGAGCCGCACCATTCGCTGCCATTGCGAGTTGTCGCGGTAAGAACAGCGATACACCACAAATCCCCAGGGGCTGTCATTCTTAAGCTCCGCGTAAGAAAGAGATGAGTCTTTCTTAGAATAATCATCTAGAGCATCGTCTGGAATCCGGTCCCATACCGGGTCGGCAACGGTTGGGATACCGCGGGACATGGGTAGGCTTGAAATCAGAGAGCGCCGTGGGTAAGGAGCGGCTCTAGCTGCAGCTCCAATCGGTGGGAAAAACAATGATCTTGACCTGGGAAGGGAAGCCATTCAATTGCTCTGGTGATGAAAGGTCAGCGAGAGGATGCTGCAACCTGGTGGGATCTCTGGTGGCCTTCTCTCTCTGTGTTGGGAGATCCTTTGTGGTTGAGGATATCTTGGTATTAGCAGGGAGAGGACTCGACGAGATAGTGGTTTTTAATATTTACGGCGTATAACATTCCTATCTTATACTCAACTAGCACATACGACCATAGGGTGTGGAAAACAGGGCTTCCCGTCCGCTCAGCCGTACTTAAGCCACACGCCGGCAGGTTAGTAGTTGGGTGGGTGACCACCAGCGAATCCCTGCTGTTGTATGTTTTTGTTTTTTCCCTTTGAAGTGTTTGTTTTCCAGGATCCTATCTTGGGTTCCATGGCATGGCATCTACCATCTTTGTTTGCGCTAGTGACCTGCCAGCAGCCCGAGATTCAGATCCAATGTATGGCTCATGGCTGACCTAGCCAACTAAGAAGCAAGAACTCTCTCACAAAGAAACAAATGATATGTCTGCCCCTAATCCACATTGAGGACTCCATGAAAGAATTAAACAAAGAACAAATCTGGGCATGGCCACCGACCAGTTGAGACTTCATTCCTTGGTGATATTTCACGGGTATGTCTTGCCCTCCTCGCACACCCGCTTAAATACCTCCTCTGTGTGCAGCACGACTTTCTTGGCCGCGTCCAACCCCCTGGTCTTCTCCAATTTCTTGTTTGGCGGAAACGCCTCCCCGTCCCAACTCACCCAGTAACACCCACTCCCCTTTGTTCCATCGCTGCCAACTGCAACATCTCCCTCCATACCCTCTCCCTCGGCTTTGGGGGGATATCTCCCATTCGTCGCTGCAAATAAATGTCTCTCTCCGCTCTCCTCAAGGGGCACCATAAATGGACTTAACAGCGGCGTCAGCACGGCCGACAGCACACGCCCAGCCGGCAGTTCACGTAGGACGCCTGTAGCCACGCCGGAGGGGTACGCATGGACGAAGGAAATATGCGGATTTTGCTGAGCCGCGCTTTCCAGGAAGAAATTGCCCATCAGACTGGCGTGCCAGCCGCACCTCTGGAGGCTAAAGGTATGCTTTAGACTGAGGTCCGAGAAGTCGAGCGTGCCGGAGCCGCCAGCACGAACCGAGACCATGGGGTCTAGGACCGACACTACGCGGGAATGTCGGGCGTTGTCGTTGACATCTTGAGCGGCAGCGTTCAAGAGTGGGAGTAGGTTGGTCATAAACCGCATTCGCGCGTAATAATGCAGCACGAGTTTGCGGTCCAGGCCTTCGGTCGTCTCGTCCCGGCCTTTTATTGTCATATACCCGGGGGTCATAAAAAGTAGATTCACTTTTTTCTCCCTTGCCGCAATCTCGGCGCAGACACTGTCGACGCTTTTGAGGAGGGAGATGTCCGTCTGAAGGAAAGTCGGCTGGGCGGAGGAATTGATCGTTTTCATGGAGGCGATGGCAGTCGCAGCGGCGGACTGACTGCGGCCGATAAGGTAGATCTTGGGGGAGGGGGTGTGACGGGCAAGGGCGAGAGCGGTTGAGAGGGCGATGCCCGAAGTGCCGCCGACTGGGAGAGGAAATTAATTCATCGTAGCGGGTTGGAATGTTGGAGCAGATTGAACTTACCAAACACGGCGACGAGACCTGGGGTTAGGCATTGGAGCGTCGCATTGTGCGCCTGGACGGCCTGGAGGCTCACCATGTCGACTGGATCTAGGACTTGGTATTGCGAAGGATACTCGTTGCAGAAACGGACTAGAAGACTAGCAGACAGTGTCTGACTATGTAGTAGCACTAGGGGAAGTAGACCAAGCTGGGATGCGTCAGCTATAAAGGTCTTTACTCAACCAGATATCGACCAATCGGTTCCGAAAGGTATCTATTCCCATCCAGCGATGCTTGATAAAGAGAGCGCGTATAATCAATCACAGGGTGTATTAATTCTGCCTAAGGAATTGCAATCGACATCGAAACCATGTCTCGGTCCGCCATAAACAAAAGTCAATCATTCGCGTGCCATGGTGTAGTCCCTGTTACCGTTGTTTGGAGGGAGTCCAGAGCCCCGGAACAGATCCGATTCCATACTGAGGAGTTATTTGGTGGCTGACGCGAAATGTCGGAAGGCGTATGCCTAGAGTGATGGTGATGGCTGAGGTGAGCCATCAGCCCAATTGCGCAAAAGACGAACTCTTTAAGTGACATCAACCAAAAAAGGGAAAAGAAAAGCTGGGCCCCGGTTCTAGGACATATGCTGCTTTGTATAATAATAATAATAAAGATCCCCCTGTGCCGTCCTCAGCTTATGGCAGTCAACAGTGACAGTGGCACCACACCCCGACAACCCGCGTTATACCCTTCCAGTTTGACTCCTGCCTTCTTTGCTACGGGCCATACTTTTTCCTTGACGCTATTAGCGACATGAGTACGGCGGGCAAGTCCAGGCCCACTGGCGACCGAGAGCTCGAAAGTGCGGAGGACAGCATCTCCAGCCTAGAGGCGAGGGAAGCAGAGATCCACAAGCTGGCCAGGCAGTTCACGGATCCGAGCAATGAATTGATCTCTGCATACAATCCCTTTGCTGCGGAGCCTGGATCCGCTCTGGACCCCAATGGTGACAATTTCAACGCCCGTGCCTGGTGCAAGGCCATGCTCCGGATGTACACCGAAGATAGCCAAGCTCATCCAGCCAGGACCCTCGGAGTGTCCTTCAGCAACCTGAATGTGCACGGTTTTGGTTCGGATACCGATTTCCAGAAGAGCGTGGGCAACGTCTGGCTGGAGGCTGTCGGCCTGGCAAGGAGGCTTATGGGTCGACGTCAGCGCAAGATCGGTATTCTGCAGGATTTGGAAGGCCTAGTGGAGGCTGGAGAAATGCTTGTCATCCTTGGACCACCCGGGTCGGGGTGCACGACTTTCTTGAAGACCATGGCTGGAGACGCGTACGGCCTGTATGTCGACGAGAACTCAAGCCTCAATTACCAAGGTATGCCCGTCGTCGTCGACGCGATGACTTCCTGCTAATTACCAATAGGTGTGAGCGCAAAGCAAATGGCCAGCGCGTTTAGGGGAGAGGCCATCTATACCGCTGAGGTCGACGTCCATTTCCCCAAGCTCACCGTGGGGGATACTCTCTACTTCGCTGCCCGGGCCCGAGCACCACGATACGTTCCCGGAGGAGCAACAGTACACCGATACGCCACACATATGCGAGACGTTATCATGGCCATGTTCGGTATCTCTCATACCAAGAACACTATTGTGGGAAGCGAATTTATCCGCGGTGTCTCTGGTGGAGAGCGCAAGCGTGTCAGTATTGCCGAAGCGTGTCTGGGCATGGCTCCGCTGCAATGTTGGGATAACTCTACTCGTGGTCTCGACAGTGCTAATGCCATTGAATTTTGCAAGACCCTTCGCATGCAGGCGGACATAAATAGCGTCACTGCCTGCGTTTCGCTTTACCAGGCCCCTCAGGCTGCCTATGATCAATTTGACAAGGTCCTGGTCCTGTATGAGGGTCGCCAGATTTTTTTTGGTCGTACAGCTGCGGCTAAGAAGTACTTTGTTAATATGGGTTTCATCTGCCCTGATCGCCAAACAGATGCTGATTTCCTTACCTCCATGACCAGTCCTCTCGAGCGTGTCGTGCGGCCAGGTTATGAAAGCCACGTTCCCCGGACGCCCGACGAATTCGCCGCCAGGTGGAAGGCGTCAGCCGAGCGAGTGCAGCTTCTGCGAGACATTGAGGTTTACAACGCAAAGTTCATCCTCGGCGGAGAATACCTGGGCAACTTCAAGCAATCCCGCAGAGCTCAGCAAGCAAAAGTCCAGCGTGTATCATCACCCTACACTCTTTCATATATTCAGCAGATTGAGTTGTGTTTATGGCGCGGATACAAACGATTGAAGGGAGATCCTAGTGTCACAGTCTCTTCATTAATTGGAAATTCAATCATGGCTCTTGTCATCGCGAGTATCTTCTACAACCTTCAGCCTGACACCAACAGCTTCTTTCAGCGCAGTGCCCTCCTATTCTTTTCTGTTCTCATGAATGCGTTCGGCTCTGGCCTTGAAATGCTCACACTCTATGCCCAACGAGGGATTGTGGAGAAACACTCTCGATATGCCCTCTACCACCCATCTGCTGAAGCATTCGCATCAATGCTGATGAATTTGCCTTACAAGATTCTGAATGCCATCACTTACAACTTGATTCTCTACTTCATGACAAACCTGAGACGAGAACCTGGCGCTTTCTTCTTCTTTGTGTTTACTTCCTTCATCCTTACCCTAACCATGTCCATGTTCTTCCGGTCCATTGCTTCGCTGACAAGAACTCTTGTTCAAGCCCTACCATTTGCTGTGATTTTGATCCTGTCTCTGAGCATGTACACTGGTTTTGCAATCCCAAGACAGTACATGTTAGGATGGGGCCGCTGGATCTCGCGTATCAACCCTATCAACTACGGCTTTGAGTCTCTGATGATCAATGAGTTCCATGGCCGCGACTTCGTCTGTGTCAACTACGTCCCGTCAGGTCCTGGCTACGCAGGCCTCAGCCCGAGCAACCATGTCTGCTCCACAGTTTGATCTGTACCGGGACAGCCATATGTTAACGGCGACGACTATATTGAGTTATCCTATGGCTATCTCGCCTCGCACAAGTGGAGGAACATCGGCATCATATTTGCCTTCATGTTCATTCTCATGTCGGTTTATCTGGCTGCTACCGAGATAGTCACCGAAAAGAAGTCAAAGGGCGAGATCCTGGTCTTCCGTCGCGGACATAAAGCCCTAAAGAAGGGCAAGTCAGAGAAGGATGTCGAAAGCGGTAGTGACCGCATCATTGCTGTGGAAGAGCAGACCCAATCGGATGAGCTTGCCATTATACAGCGCCAGACTGCCATTGTCCAGTGGAGAGATGTCTGCTATGATATCAAAATTGGGAAAGAGAATCGCAGGATTCTTGGTCGCATTGATGGATGGGTCAAACCGGGGACCTTGACCGCGCTTATGGGTGTCTCTGGCGCTGGAAAAACCACGCTATTAGATGTTCTGGCTACTCGTACCACCATAGGTGTTATCACGGGGGAGATCCTTGTTGATGGCAAGCCTCGGGATGAGTCCTTCCAGCGCAAGACTGGCTACGCCCAACAACAAGATTTGCACCTAAATACCTCTACAGTTCGCGAGGCCCTAACCTTCTCTGCCCTTCTGCGCCAGCCTGCTCATGTCCCTCGGCAAGAGAAGATTGACTATGTCACCGAAGTCATCAAACTGTTAGATATGACTGAGTATGCTGATGCTATCATTGGGGTACCTGGTGAAGGCCTCAATATCGAGCAACGCAAACGTCTTACCATCGGTGTGGAGCTTGCAGCCAAGGCCGCTCTGCTTCTTTTCTTAGATGAACCTACCTCTGGACTTGATTCTCAGACATCATGGGCCATTCTCAGTCTTCTTGATAAGCTGAAGAAGAACGGACAGGCAATTCTGTGCACTATCCATCAACCTTCCGCAATGCTGTTCCAGCGCTTCGATCATCTCCTCTTTCTCCAGGCTGGGGGTCGCACTGTCTACTTTGGTGAAGTTGGTGAAAACTCACAAATTCTTATTGACTACTTTGTCCGCAATGGGGCCCCTCCGTGCCCGCCGGACGCCAATCCTGCCGAATGGATGCTCGATGTCATTGGCGCCGCTCCCGGTTCCCATACTGATATCGACTGGTTTGATACATGGCGCAAATCTCCCGAGTATGCTCGCGTCCAAGAACATCTCGCCGAACTGAAACAGGAACGATCTCACCAGGTCGACCGCTCCCGCTCCACCTTGTACCAGACGCCTCAGGATAAGGCCAGCTACCGCGAGTTCGCCGCACCCTTCTCTGAACAGCTCCGCGAAGTCCAGCTTCGAGTCTTTCAGCAAATCTGGCGCTCTCCCACTTACATATATTCCAAGGCTTTGCTGTGTGTGAGCTCCGCTCTCTTCGTTGGATTCTCTCTGTTTCGTACGCCCAATACGATCCAGGGGCTACAGAATCAGATGTTTGCTATCTTTATGTTGTTGACTCTGTTTGGTCAGCTCATCCAGCAGATCATGCCACACTTTATTGCTCAGCGCGATTTGTACGAGGCTCGCGAACGTCCTTCCAAAGCCTACTCTTGGAAAGCTTTCATTATATCTAATATTATAGTCGAGCTTCCTTGGAACTCGATTATGTCTGTCCTAATGTTCCTATGCTGGTATTATCCTGTGGGTTTGTACCGCAATGCTGAGCCTACTGACACTGTTGCGCTCCGCGGCGCGCAGATGTGGCTCTTCATCTGGACGTTTCTTCTCTTCTCATCCACCTTTGCACACTTTATGATCGTTGCTTTTGAGAGTGCTGAAAATGTTGGTAATATGGGCAATCTGCTCTTCATGCTCTGTCTGCTTTTCTGCGGTGTCCTGGCTACACCTGACCAGTTTCCGGGGTTCTGGATCTTCATGTATCGGGTTTCGCCATTCACGTAACTTGTCAGCGGTATGCTCTCTGTCGGCATCTCCAACACAAAGGTCTCCTGCGCGGCAAATGAATACCTGCACTTTGACCCGCCCAATGGCACCTGTGGCGACTACATGAAAACATATCAGTCCACTATGGGTGGCTACATTCAAGATGAACAAGCAACCTCAGACTGCAGCTACTGCCCCATCAGCAACACGAATGTCTACCTTGCTTCTGTCTCGTCCCAATATTCAGATGTGTGGCGAAACTTTGGCATTATGTGGGTCTACATTGTCTTCAACATATTTGCGGCGTGTGCGCTGTACTGGTGGGTGCGTGTTCCAAAGGTTAAGGCTCCCAAGAACAACGTCTGAGATCGCAACCTTGCTTCAAATTGGGTTCAGGATCGTAACTGCAAGATCTCTATACAAGAATGGCTCTACATGATGTATTTAGAGTCCCTCTTAGTCTCTCACTCTCGTTACCATTTCATGGCCTGAGCATAACTCGCTTGCTCGAGTCGGTTCCAACTGATCCTTTCAAATATCAATCTCTTCTCAGTCACTTACTCTACCGGCCTCTCTTGGTTCCGCTACAGCTTCGTTTCATATAGATTTGTATCAAGCGTCACTTAGTAACCCATCCCTGGACTAACTAGCTGTGAGGCATACAAGAGCTCGTGATTGCAGAAACTCGGCCACATCAGCAGTAGGAGCAATATTCAACTTTCGCCTCGTCCTCATCCTCGCCCGCCACCAGGCGAGATGTCTCTTCGTGCCATCCCGCGCGTCAAACACCTATCCCGCTCCATCATGTAGTCGTCCAATCAATCTAACATGTTGCCGCGCCTAGGTAGACCCCCCTGCCTTGGCAGCTGATTGGTCTGTCTAACCATCGTTCCAGAACCTCGCAGGAGGCTTCCTTGTTCCTGGTCCTGCTCCGCTGGCTCTCCCTTAGAACCTAGATTCTGCCCCCGAAGCGACAAAAAGAAGAAATGAAAAAAACATACAACAGCCGGGATTCGCTGGTGGTCACCCACCCAACTACTAACCGGCCGGCGTGTGGCTTGAGTACGGCTGAGCGGACGGGAAGCCCTATTTTCCACACCCTGTGGTCGTATGTACTAGCTGATTATAAGACTGAGTATAAGAATGATTACAAGATAGGTAGGAGTCTTATACGTCGCAAAGATTAAAGACTACTATTTCGCTATTGGGGCCCATTGTTGTCTGACTTTCCCAATCGACGTCTCAATAGACGACACTATTCTTCACAGAGACTCCTGAGGCCGAAACACCTCAAACGCCGCCAGCGGAGGGCACCTCAAGAGATCCGTGTAATCAAGCTCAGGGTCATCCGGGGCCTTGGCTGAGAGCCACCGTAAGTGACGCAGCCCCGCCGCGTGGGCGGTCTTCTCATAGATGCCTCGCTCGCGGGTGTAAGCTTCGAAGGCGATAGGCTGCGAGGTGTGGGCTTTGCCCAGACGATGCCATGCTTCGTCTGCAGCTGGCAGGGGAAATTCAACCTGGCGGAGCTCGACCACGTCCACGAGGGATGGACGGGGAGGAACGGGAATCTGGGCGTGGCTGTCTCCCATGGATGCTGTCTCTTGGAGAAGGACAAAGCTTGTGAATGTAGAAGAGGAGGATAGAACGACGACGAGAAGGGGGGGATTTTCGTTAGTCTTCTGCCACAGGCAACGGTGCTTTCTCGCGTCCAGAGAGACTGTAGTATGACTTGACCCAGGTGCATATACGTGCATTCCTCTTAGAAATTATCATTGAGGTGAAGCAGACGAACGCGCGATGGGGATGAGGATGCTGTTATTAGATATCTCGCGAACCTGCAGCGTATACATAGATGAGCCTCCAGGAGCTGGATGTTCCATGCTGTCACATCATCATTCCAATGTCACGTATTCCGCGTTCTGCCCCGACACATGGAGTTATTTCCATGATGGAGGTTGCACGAGGAAACCCAAATATCTTCAACAGGTTCCCACGTCCCCAATAATCCTTATTAGTACTCTTCTGAGTGTGCACAGTATCTGCCTCCCGTTCCCAGAATTTCGCACTCTTCCTTCAATGCCACAAGCTCCTCTTCCCGGATCTCCAGCATCTCTTTTTTTCGGGTGTAAATGATCCACGTTGGATGGTCAGACTTATCAGATTGAATATAACAATTAGCTCATCTGCACATTGGACGGTATCAAAAAAGACAATGGGAACCACATATTCCTGTTCGGATGAAATGGCATCACCAAGGGTCGTAAGCTCCTCGCGTTTGATCTCAATTTCCCGCCGCCTTCTTGGAATTTACTAGTGACCAAGAGAAGCGAAGAGAGCCATGCTCCCCATGGCTTCCAAGTGGACAGAAACAGGAGAGCCCGCTCAATCTTTTGGGCTGGTGTGCGGGATGCGAGGCTTTCACCAGGATTGGGATATAGCATGCCTGTAGCATAGACTGTGACGCCCCTCCAATCAAGATCCTTATCACCCTCTCACAAGCATCGTATAGAGTCCCCTGTCAGCTGAGTCTGCCTGTGGCTTAACAGTAGGCCTCGCTTCCTGTCATATCTAATCCGACAGGATCCGTTTGGGTAGCAAAGCCTGCTCTGCACGTGTACTTTGTAGAGCATACGCGCTGCACTTGCCTGGGGAAAGGGGCCATTCCGTCTAGTCAAAGCTTGCGGTCATGGCCATACTTATTAAGGCTTGTAGAGTTACCACGCTTGCACAACATCCCACTGTCCTAAGAGTGTATCTGATATCACCCGCCGTCTAACTCAAGACACCCCATTTGGAGGACCTCACCATCACAGCTCTCGTGCAATCCGTGAATGTCTTGTAAGTCCAAAGAAAACAGAGGCCCCACCTTCAAACCCCGCAGTTAAACAGTGCACTTGCATACACTTAGCTAGATTGGTGGTCATTCTTTGATGGATACGAATGGCTATTGATAGAGATGATGTTGCTTCCCAGCCTTGCAAAACAAAGCCACTACCCTCCCCCTAATGGATCCCAGTGGAAAAAAAGGAAAAATAAACGATGAAACGCCCACGATCCACCTTCTTGTCTCTGGCCTGATGCTGATGCGGCCTAGTATATTAAAACAACTTCACATCACACCCTAGACATTCCATAACAGTGTGTTGGTTTAGATATCCGCCTCCTGATAGTGCGCAAGAATGTTCAGAAAATTGAAAATCATGTTGACCGCGATGGAATCAGCACAAAACTCCATCAATGTCTATCCCAGATTCTGAATCGCTGTAAAACTGCAGCAGAGCAACTCGATCATGCACACCTCATTCCTAAGCAGATTCCGCCGCAAAGCATAATTCAACAATCCTTACGCAGTTAGGGAAGCTCCATATCTACAATTATCGCTTATATTACAATCTACCGGGTGTTGGGAGGTAATAGCGAATACAGGTTCAAATGGTGCAAAGTGTCGATTCAGTGAGGCTCACCCACTTTGGTCCCCTTCCGATTGAACGGAGTTCAGGATTTAGTGAACTGGGCAGAGCACAAAGATTCAAGCCTCATCCCATAAGGTATATCCGTTCTCTTCTGTCTCGTATTCGTCCAGGAAATCAATATCACCATAGTCCCGTATAAGAAGACTAGGGCACGAGACAAACCCCATGTTCTGCAAACTTAGCATAGCACCAATGGTAGAGCTGGTGACCGCTTACCTCAAAGTTCATCTGCTCTAAGCCATGGCTTTTCCCGACGTCCCGCCAGGTATCTAAAACTTCCTCGGTTGGATGAAACTCAGAGAACCCCACCCACTGAACGAGGTTGCTTGTCCGCAGGTACCGGAACCAATGCTCCGCCTGAGGCACCGCCGTCGTCTCCCGGCATTCCAAGTGCGAAGCTCGAACTTGTGCAACCAATACCATTTGCTGGAGTAGGGGCATCTGTTGTGCCGCCAAGCCGGCGGACCTGTATAGTTCGCTGAGAACTGGAGCAGGCTTAGTCCTGAAGAAATCCACAGGATAGTCCTGTTCTGCCGGAACACGGGCGTCGGGCCAATCCTCCGTTAGGTCTTCGTAAGGCCGTTCATGCTCGTAGTTCTTGACTTTGGAGCGAGGGTCCCGGTCAAAGAGCCATTGCCCACAGGCAGTAGCGCTTCTATATACGACAGTGAAGTGAGTGAGGTGCGGCCATAGCGGAGGGGAGATTGATGCAGTATTGGAGGGCCAGAAAAGCTCGGTCCCGGTTGTTATATCTTCGAGCTCGACTGTCACAAGCTGTTGACTTAAGCGGTTCAGGGCAAGACAGAGCGCGTCTGTTCCCTTCTCAGAGAGCCTCGGTGGCGGCCTGTTCTCATTCCCAGGCGGGTCACCCCGGTATTTGAGATGGAGATGCTGTATTGAGGCAGGCCACTGCGTTAAGGAAACGCCGAATTCTGTTGCTTTGTATGAGCCGGTGCTTCAGGGAATATGTTTCTGGTGGAGGACGGCTAGGCGTGCAGTCACTGTGTGCGGGAAGACTTACCATCTCTCAGTGATTGTCTTACTGTCATATCCCTCCTCTCATTATCACAGAGCACCCCATTCACCGTCCTCAAGCGAGGCAGGCACGAGATGATCCCCGATACCGCAGCTGGGGCAATCCGCCGATAGTCAGAATAAGAGATATCTCCAATGACATCCAGGTCGACTATCGCTCTCACCGGTGGCAAGGTATGCTCTAGGGCCGACAAGCGCAGATATGAGTGGTGATACCGTAGGTCGAGCAAGTCATTGCCGCGGCGCTTGTACAAAAGTCTCTTTTTCCGTTTTGTCATATCCGGCTCTCCATTCAAATCACCAGGAGAGCGAGCGAAGACACGGAGTGTAAGGTGGCAGCTATCAGGCCAAAGACTCAAGATGTCGAATAGACTGTGAATAGCACGGGTGAAGGACTCGTCATTGCGCCGTTGCTCATCGGCGGTTTGAACTTCGCCTCGGGCGGGAATACTATACCCAGGCAGGATTACCAGTAGTCCGATTTTGCGAACATATGAGCGGCGGCGGGAAGAGGCGCTGACGAAGTGCAGCAGGTCAGGCAGCTGGGCAGGAGTGAGATGGAGACAGGAGAAAGTTGTCTTTTCAACCAGCATCTGCCATTGTTTGTTGACACTGGCATAGGGCGCTAGAGAAGACTCGGGGGAGAGGAAGGAGAATACATGGTGGATGATTTCCAGGGGGAGAGTCAACATGATGAGGTTCATGAGAACTGGCTTTGTCCGTACGAAACGAGACGTTTGTTGGGAAAGACAAAGGAAGTCACGTGTTATATGTATATCTCAACCTTCTACAGGTCCTAAAAGTATACTAGTAGGGCCGCATACATAGGTAGAGGGAGGCGCTGCGTGGTCTGGGAATTTATCTTCCTCACTTCGGGCATCTCACAATCGCTAGCAGGTTACCACTCCATGTGACTTGGCCCATCTCTTAAGGCTTGGTAGGGTCTCCTGCTTATACTCGTGGTGAATATCTCCTGTTATGTGACATCTGCACGTTCCATATTGCCAATGATTCTCAAGAGTCAAGGTATGGGACAAGAGATAGAGAGGATATACAGGTAGTACAGTAACAGTCCGGTGAAGCAACGAAGGGATTTTATGCTTCACGTCAACGGCTCGGGATGTCTGTGTGGACTTTCAGACACTGTAGGCTGACCCTACTGCAAGGTAAAGGTCTGTCTCTCCACCCTCGAATCCAAGTCCAATTTCCAGCTCAGTGATCTAAACTGGCCGTTGTCGGCACCGGTGAATTCAATCAAAAACGCCTTCCAGGAGAACAGATAAACCGAGTAACCCTGTCGAATACACTCATCGCGACTCGCTGGCAGGAATGACCAAGTATCGTAGTGGTAGTGGTGCAAGTCGAATGTTTGCTCCTCGCTGCTGTTGATGCGTAGTCGTAAGGTCTGTTCACCAGAGGCCGCAGCGTTGCTGGCACTGATTTCTACCGTCATGGCAAGACCTGAATTGATGTACGTGCCTTGATAGGCTTGTAAGTCACGTGGCGCTGTTCCAGTCACCCGGTGAGAGTTCCACTCGTGGACAAGGGTATCCCAGCGTCTCTTCGAATTGTGAACAATCTCTTTCGCAATCTCGAGGAAGACAATCTTGGGTTGTAGGTCAAATAAAGTCTGAGTGAGGAGCTGGGCTACAATATTGGTTGGGTCCCCATTCAACTGGAAGGAATTGCAGAGGACGACCACTGCGCTATCCTCCTCTGGAAAAGTCCAGTATGCAGAGAGGAAGCCTCCGAGCTCGCCGGTATGTCCAACCACCTTCATAAGTGGTGACTCTGCACCAAGACGGTAGGACGTGGTGATCACGTCGGTATTGGTGACCAGATTCATTTCTGTGGTGGGCAGTTGGAAGGTGAAGAGGCCCATCGCATAGGCCTGCTTTGGATCGGATGAGAGGGGGAAATACGGCGTCTGCGCGGCTCTCAGTGCGCGTGTCAGCTGCTGGGGGAGGCCGTAGTGGCTAGGGATCTTTTCATCAAACGTTTCATTTCCGCGGGTGAGCGAGGTACGGGATGTTCGAGGTTTTAAACATGTAGCTAGCCAGTAGAAAGAACAAGGGGGCGCAACCTCTTTACCCGCCTGGTGATAGTCATCACCTTGGTCAATAAAAGAGGTCCTCCAGGCCGTCATCAAAGCTTTAGCCCAGATCAACATATCATGGACGCTGGAGCGAACGGACCCCGAGGCATCGAACGCCCACCCGTCGGAGAGATCCGGGAGATGGATGAGCTGTTTGGATCCATCTGAGAAGGCCAGATACGGACGGGCATAGTTGTCGTCTACATTGGGGTTCTCGCATGCCGTGCGAGACATTCCCAGCGCGTCAAAGATTTCCCTCTGGACCAGCCGGCCGAAGGTCTGCTGGGACGTCTGCTGGATCAGAACTCCAGCCAGGGCGAACATCCAATTGCTATACTTCCACTCGGATCGAAACTCCGACTCGCGTGGAAGATGGTTGCAGATCTGGATGACATCCTCCCTGCGTGCGAATACTGAGCCATTCTTACCGACGACCTCATAGGGTAGCGGGGATAAACCCGAACAATGGGAGAGCATGTCTCGGACCGTCATCTGCTGGCTGACGGCGGGGTTGTTTCTGGTGAAGAAAGAGGGGATATAATGGGCGACCTTCTCATCGAAATCCAGCTTCCCTTCATTCACCAACAGGCCGACTGCAGTGCCAGTGAAGCCTTTGGTACAGGAGGCGATGGTATAGACGGTGTCCTCGTCTGGCACTCGACCACTCTCCTCGTCCGCATGTCCAAAGCCCTGGGTGTAGATGGTTTCCCCATGATAGACGACGCCTATGGAGAATGACGGCGCCTGGAATAGAGTGCGGATCGCCTCGATTATGGGGGTGATTTCATGCAGTCCAAGGCTACTGTTAGCGACAGGCTGGGTTGCGCGGGAAGAGCAGTTACCGTCTGGCTGCATCTGCGCGATCCTGTTCCGACGGATCATCCGAATAAGGCGGAAACGATTTCTCCATAGTGCAACTCGCGCGACACAGGTAATTGCTCACCCTGTCTATTATGCACCCACCACACACCGCCGTCCTCCCCCCTTAGAATCATCCAGAGTTGCTCACCCAGACGGCGCGCACCCGCCTTGTAACCGCATTCAAGCCACAGCTGGGTGGCTGACCACCAGCGAATCGCGGCTCTTGCATGTTTTCGCTTTTTGCTCTTTTCTACTATAGCAGATAAGAGTGAATAAAGACAGACATATCATTCTTGAAGCAGTACAGCATCTACAGGCGAATAAAGGTTGTCAAACTAGTTATGTTGTTCTCATTGTATAGTTAGCATGTCCATTTGTGGCTGCCTTGAACTAGAAGGCGGTGAGCATCGGGCCTTTACGTAAACATCGTTGATTGACCACCAAAAGAGCACCCCTTGAACAACGTCAACAATGGGGGTGGATTCTCATATATCATCTTGTATGGGGTAACAAACGTGCTGGTATCTAATCCCTGCTCTGGGGATCCATCTTGTGCTCTTACCTGCCGGTCTCCGCAGACATAGAACACAATGCCTGTTGCAACCGGAAGTTGGGCGACTCTTATCGCCAACATTCTGGTGCCGATAGCTGTCCTCATCTTTTCGTCCGGCTTCTTCCCGTATAAACCTTTGATTCCCGGTCTAGCAACCTTTGAACAAGATGGTGGGTTTGTTGCGCCTCCAAACGTCTTCGACAAAGTAGTTTTCATGGTGATTGACGCATTGCGGAGGTATGAATACTATATCTGGAGGCGGGACTATCACTGACTGATACTCCCAGTGATTTTGTTTACTCTGACAATTCTGGCTTCGCTTTCACTCAAAGGTAAGTCTTACAATCGGTCGAAGACGCTCCCAGTAGGCACGCTGCTAACACCGCCCGAAAGCTTGATTCGCTCTGGCGCAGCGATCCCATTCACTGCCTACGCCAGTTCTCCAACGGTAACGATGCCTCGGCTCAAAGCCATCACCACGGGGTCCGTTCCGTCCTTTCTGGATGTAATTCTAAACATTGCGGAATCCGACACCTCGTCAACACTTGCCTTCCAAGATACGTGGTTGGCACAGCTGAAAGCCAGAGGAGACCAGCTTGTCATGTACGGGGACGACACCTGGCTCAAGCTATTCCCCGGAATGTTTGGAAGAGCTGATGGTACCACAAGCTTCTTCGTGTCGGTTAGTGGCCTCGTCATAGCTCCCATTGCCACCCTAAAATATCCAACTAAACGGCCTTACACAGGACTTCACAGAAGTAGACAACAACGTGACCCGGCATGTCCCTGAGGAACTCAAGCAGGATGACTGGTCAGCTCTCATCATGCATTATCTGGGCCTGGATCATATAGGCCATAAGTCCGGCCCGAGAAGGTAGGTTGTCTACGGAAGTTGAAATCAACTCGCGGCCTTCTGACATAGATTAGTCCTTATATGAAGGGGAAGCAAGAAGAAATGGACTCTATTGTGACAATGGTGTACGATGCCATGGGACGAGAAGAACATCTCCAGTCGACGTTGTTTGTCCTGTGTGGGGATCATGGCATGAATGATGCAGGCAACCATGGAGGCTCTTCCGTGGGTGAGACATCCCCTGCTTTACTTTTCATTTCTCCAAAATTCCAAGACATGGGGTTTCAATACCAAAGCCCAATTGAACCAGCCAGCGAGCTACAGTATTACCGGACTGTTGAGCAAACTGATCTTACGCCCACATTGGCGGGACTTCTTGGCCTCCCAATCCCTTTGAATAGCCTGGGCGTGTTTATACCGGAGCTACTTCCCATGTGGGAGCAAAGTGAGTCCACGTTAGCCTTGTATGTGCTGGGAATCAATTTTCTAATTACCCTCTAACACAGCACCTGACCGGATGTACATGCTCCTGGAGAACTCCAGGCAATTACTGAGTACCGTGAAAGAAGCGTTTCCAAGTTATAACTTCGACCCCCAGCCTGTCCCTTCCAAGTGTGCATCCGAACCCACGAGTGGCATTGACGCGGTTCAGTGTGCTTGGATCAAAATCCTCGAACTACTCAATGGGTCTGTTAGTCTGACCAACACGAACATTCCTCCTGAACTTGAATCAAGCCTTTTCACTTTCATGAAGCGCTCCCAACAGCTCATGAGCAGTGCTGCTAGTAACTATAACCTGGGGAGCTTGTATCTCGGCATATGCGTCACGTGTCTCGCGATTTGTCTCTCCTTACCTGCCACATACAAGCTAGTCTCGGGAACAAGACATCCTGGGATGTTTTTGTTAACAAGCATTGTCAGCTATACTTGCATAATGTTTGCAAGTAGCTACGTGGAGGAAGAACAGCAATTTTGGTACTGGATATTTACCGGATGGATCTTCTACCTCCATGTCAGGTCTTTCGGCCACGCCTACCAAAAGTCCGTTTCAGACAAGAAGCATCAGGCCTTCACATTCTGGCTTTCAACACTGGGCTCGCTCGGACTCGCAGTTTCTCATCGCATCCTACGACGCTGGAACCAAACTGGCCAAAAATTCTCTGCGGAACCAGACATCGCCAAGTCTTTTCTCCCATCTCATCAATACATCTTGTGGGCCTTGGTTGCCACCACATACGCCGATAGATATGTTCGCCTCGTCTCTCATCACCCGAGATCGATCATTTGGCAGCTCCTCGCGCAGTCCGTCACGATGACGGCTTTTCTATTCAAGCTTGTCTTTGCGTTATCAGACTCTCCAGAGCTTCTTGATAACTCTTTCTTAGAGCCCGTGTCAAAAATCGCCAACTTGCTATCTATAGTCTGGCATGCTCGTGTCGTCCTGTTTGGACTACTGGCGCTTGTCGTGTTTTCCGAGAGCACTGCCCGCTTCAGGGCGTCAGACGTAGCAAAAGGCGAAGCTTCCGCATCTACGCCGAGCACCGTTTTTCATGAGGCCCTTACCCTTTTCCTAATGACCCAGTCGCGGGCCACAAATATTCCGCTGTTTCTCCTTTTTAGGTTCCAGGCGGATATTCTGGCCTCTATGGACTTGACGATCGTGGAACAGGCGGTTACATCGCTGTTGTTCCAGTATATGACGTTCTTTGCCTTTGGCGGATCGAATTCGATATCTTCAGTCGACCTTTCCAACGCCTATAACGGGATTGGCAGCTACAGCGTCGTCTTTGTCGGCATCCTGACCTACATCAGCAACTGGGCTGGGCCAATCTGGTGGGTATCCGCAAGTCTACTGCTTCGGTCAAAGTCGACAATGGATGAAAGACATGCCCATTTGACAATCCTCACCTTTCACATGGCATCTACATTGGCCTCTGTCATGGTGGCCTGCACGATACTGAGAACACACCTGTTCATCTGGACGGTCTTCTCGCCGAAGTATCTGTATTCCATGGCGTGGGCGCTTATAAACCACTTGCTCGTGAACATACTGGGAGAGATCGGCTTCGCTCTCTTGTGAGGAAGTGGTGGCTTCTAGTATTAGAATTGTACATAGACCCTCTAGACAGTACATAAAGGTCGTATCGGACATGAAATAGTCATCAATGCAAAGACATATTCTTTCAATATAATCATAAGAGACCAGCAAAAAGGTCATCAATGGCATCTTTCTTCTTTTTGCTCTTCTTCTTTGTCTTCTTTTCTTCCGTCTTTGCTTTCATCTTCGGTTCCTTTGAGCGGTCCTCGGGAAAAGCCACCGAGCTCTCTTTGCGAGGAGCCCGCATTTCGGACGAGCTAGTAGCCGGTGAAGGACCAGAATCCCGAGCGAGTACTTCCCCAACGTCTTCGGCTTTTGACGTTGGTAACTCATAAGGCTGGGCTCTGCCAGCATTCTTCGCCCGACTCATGGCCTTGAACTCCTTGTCAATGCCAGCGGCCTTGGAAAGTCGCGCGAGCGTGGCTAATAGGACGACACCAAGAGTCGAGAACTGCCCGTCGGCCACGACTGTTGAAAATGCACTGTGGTCCGATTAGCCGCGCGCTCAATGGATGGAAGGTGGCTGTAGGTTGAGCGATCCCTCAGGACAGTCCGGACTTACAGGTAACATCCTGGTACGACGTGCGTCGCGAGGTGCCGTCTGTACACATCAGCAGACGGCAGGGACTTCGCACTCGACGATTCATGTTGCAGCGATTCCGCGAGTTTTAGCGTGGTGCGTTTTAGCATCGACAGCCACTTCCACCATTTTGTACCTCCATGCTGGTTTTTATTGCGATGGAAGATCAAGTGGAGCATCGAATGGATGAGGAGGATTTTCTCTGCCTCCATAATGTCTGCTTTGAGATGACAGGTACCGTTTGACTGGCGTCTTCTGACATAAATTCATGTCATTTTTTGGTGATTTAGTCCTGGTTGGAGTTGTGAGATTTGCGGTTCGTCATCGGAAGAGCGATGGTTCTTTTTTGGTGGGCGGGAACTAACGACTAATCGGGTAAAGTCATTTGCCGGTCCGACATCTGTACAATATGCCCCAAGGCATTATTTGAACGACATCAACGATGAAAAAGGGTTCCCACGTTCACGCTGCACGGATTCTGCCAGCCTCGATGTCTGGAACATGGCCTAGCACCCAGTGTCACCCACAAGCCATTGTGCAACTCATGACTTCCTACTATTGCAGGAGTTTCTACAGTCTACAACACTTCAGAGTTGACAGCCTTGTAGCGACGGCCAGACTAGCTGACCTTTTGCTTCCATTGACTTGTTAAACTATCAGGCACTGCGACAAGGACACCTGAATCTCACAGAGAAAGGCCTCCAACGGAGATCACTCCAACATCTTAGACTCGAACCGAGGCACCACACCAAAGCCAGCCAGGGCATAGAATGGTTTCTCCCATGGGTCAATAATGTTGACTGTATCCCCAATGATTATGAACTCGGACAAGACTGGGAGTCAGATTCTGGAGATGAGAAAAGAAAAACGGCAACAATGCTTCCAGATGACGTGAGATCTTCCCCAGTCCTGGATCGCAAATTCAACATATTCACATACAATTCGTGCTTTTTTGGGGTGGCGTTTTTTCATTTTGTCAGAAAGTCACTGGTTCTCTCGCAACTTTGCGCACAATACGTCGGTGCTGGTGGTTCCGTTAAGAAGTCCGGGGACCACGTTCGGCAAAAGTCGGTTCAAACCAGGACTTCAAACCGGGGTAGGTGCAAGGAGCGCTCCGCAGCCCACTGCTAATGCCGGGTGTGTGTCTCGGACCCAGCGTGCGGACATATATGATCTCTCTTTCCGCAGCAGTGGTTCCGCGGTCAAACTGTGAGCGACGGCGACGTTGTTCGTCACGATACTGCTGACCGACACGTGGAGCAAATAAACCTGGCAAATGACAGAGATGAGTATGTAGTCCGACTGTTGCTGTAGCATGTCGTACTCACCAACATGTTCAGCATTCTCGATACTGCGTCTCATCTTCGATGGGTTGTCAGGACCGGGGAAGCGATCCTCAGTACCAGCGAGAGGTCCAGTTCCTGTGTGGAAGATCTGCATATGCCGTATGTTATTTCGTTGCCTTGAAATCCGCAACAGGATTGATGTGCACCCACCTTGGGGCGAAATGATGGATGCTCCAGCATCACAGAACTATTCCGGAACTTTTGCACGAGGCAATCTTTGCCCTGGATTGCTAGATCGAGGGTCAGAGCAGGAACGCGGAGATATCCATCACATCGCTTACTTGCGTATGACACTTCCGCGACCTTGTCGCTGTTGAAGCAATTCCTGCAGATCGGTCGTCAATATCACGGATGTGCTAGATGATTGTCTCCTTACCAAGTACGCCCAGCGCGCATTTTGACGAACTGAAACAGTGTAAGTAGTGTAGCCAGGAGACAGATGACGGGAGGTACTGACGTCGATGATATCAATCGGCTGGGAAGAAGTTAGTAACAGTATGCGAAGCTGTCTGGACGAAACTTACATCTTCGAAATTTATGAAAGCATATCCCACGCTATATTGGTAAGTGAAAAGGCACAAGGCGCTATGTTGTGCTGGGACGAGCATACTTGCAATTATTGGCGAAATCTAATCCGGTTCAAGTCAGCGCTCATGTCACTTATCACGTCGTCCGAGGGTCCTGATCCTCTTACCAATGCGTAGATACATAAAGTCATATTTACCGTGGCTAGTCTCATCGACAATAGCTTTAAGCATGGTCTTCTGGTGTCAGTCCAAGCACTTCGCCGTTCCAGCATCACGCACGGGCCTTACCTGGTCAATCTTGTTGGGAATATTCCGAAGCATGATCTTGATTTTGAAACAATCAGCCGAGCTAACATCCGCGGAGCTTTCGAGCACTCACCGTGGTGCGAACATCAAGGCCAAGACGAATCCGTTCAATGTCTACCGCATTCTGGTTGTTGAGTCTCATGTCCACGTACCGACCGGGTTCACGGCGCGGGGACGGCGAGATCCCTTCTCCAGCCCTAGACATCCAGTCCATGAGTCCGGCATGCTCACCGGGTGGAACAGTCGAGCGGCCAGTAGGGCTAAGCTCCATGTACAGTGAATGGCCTGTTCGGCTTGGGGTCAAGGAGGCGCTTCTCGAGCGCGAAGGGTCATAGGAAGTACAATCATCCCTTACTGGAGATGAAGTAGCACGAGGAAAGTATAACTTGTCATCGACGTCTGGCTTGAACGAGGAAACCTCGAAAACGTAGTCCCTTGAATGATCAGCATACCTCTCAGTAATTTCATCTTCAGACTTACATCGACCGTTGTCCCATTGAGCGTTGTCAGGAAATTCTCTGCATCACGGGTGTTGAAGAACTCAACATGGAACTCGCTAACGTTTTCCTGGGCAGTCGGAAGGGCACTGAGATCTTTCACGTCGCCAAAAGTCGATGCAATAGCATCGAGGGACCGTGTGGCCGAGTGCTGGTTCAACCCTGGGTTCCGACTGTCGTAGTAGATAGTCACAAACAATTGACCTTCATAGTCGGATGTTTTGGGGACAAGAGACGCGTCTGAATGCTGCACATATTCTTTGGCTGTAAGGGGAAACACACGCCACTCCGGGCGCAGAAGGTGAACCTTTTCCATCGCTCTCTTTGCCTCACGGCTATCTGCGAATGCAACATATACTTTACCCATGGAACTGAGCTCCGTCAGGAGTGGACCTTTCAATGTCGCAAACTCACGCCGCTTGCTCACCATTAGCTTCTTGGACTGCTACAAAGAGCTGGTGGATCACTCACATTGAAGAATCCAGCAAGAGACATGTAAGAAAGATTAGTTGGGACGTTCTCGACGACCAGTGCACGACTTCGCCTCTCGACGTCGAATCTGTCAAGTGAGGGTCGGATTGCTGAATCTCTTCTAGCACCTTCAGCGTCGCCGATGACTCCGTAGTTCGACGATAACCCCTGGGGGGCTTTGGCGGGTCCATTTCTTGGTCCGGAGGATTCAGATCCAGGATGAGAGGATAGATAGCTGACATTGGAGAAGCAACGAGACGATGATCGGGACAAAGTTCTGTTGGCTTCAGTCTCTCTAATCCCAGTCGGTGTAAAGCTTGCAGCCGTTGGGGAAAGCTGGGCTCTGTTAGAGGCGCCTGTGGGCATCAGGAAAGGGTCTGAAGCTGCTGCTCTGTCTTCTAGTCAGTAGATTTTCAACAGGCTGGGGTTTCCTCCTTCCACTTACACTGAATAAAGCTTTCGATATCCGCCATCACTTGATGGGCCAACGAGGACTGGGTCCGAACGACCCTTGGACCGTAGATCCTCTGGTGAGTAGACGGTGAGTTTGGTCTCTGGAGAGCCATTTGGGGATGCTCCGCCACTTGTAGAACAGGGGCTGCTCAGGCCACGGGATGATCCGTTCGTTCTCATGCTTGCAGTGCTGGGGAGATGTACTCGACCAAGGATTGGGTTGAGGTTGAAAGCTGCGATGTGCCTTGGAAACCAAGGGACGCGTAAGATGGACGACGAACGACGCAGATAGAAAACAAACAAAGAAATAACAAATCACAGTAAAAGGTGCTTTTTGAGACAGCAGAAATTACCCGAAGGAAATGTACATGAACAACAGTACTACAACAAGGACACAAGACACTTTGTTCACGTTTAGTGAAGAGAATGAGGGGAGAGACTCTGGGAGAAGAAAGCAGGTGAAGAAGCGTATCATGGGAATGAATGGAGAACAACACCAGAAGCGATGGAGCGTGTAAAGGGGATGGCCTGCGCCGTGAAAGCCAGCAGAGAAGATCACTCTGACGACTCAGCACGACTCAGCATGGCTCGGCGCAGATGCACTGGGATTCACCTACATGCTGGAGCAAACAGATTACCATCTCTTTCTTTACACTGGAGAAGATCTTCTTTATATGGTACATTTTGTTAGCTGGATTTGAGACTATATCAAAGTCCATATCATCAACCTATCTGGCTCTCCCTATAAGACTGTTTGGTAAGACACATGGGCTCTCACTATTATAACATCGCAAATTGGAGGATTTACAGAACCATATCCACGGTATTGTATGTCTTTTGTCTTATCTCCCTCTTTCTGGAGGCTGATTCTGGCATCACGAGCGGAGTTGAAAGACAGGTGGGGGAAGAGTAAGAGATAATGTTGTTCAATTGCACAATACCACTCATTCAAAAATCCAGTCCTCCTTGGAAACTGCAGTAGATATGCCAGTTCTCACCCTATGTCAGCAGAGTACAGTAGTGAAATATTAGTAGAATAATGCATAGGCAATGTAGAGGCAAAGACAGGCTTCCTGTATCATCCTTGCACATTGGATCGATGCATAGTACTCTGTATATGACTTGTGCTAGATAGATAGAGCAGGACAGTTCTTTATAGATGTCACTCAGTCTTTCCTACCTACGTTAAGATTGATGAACGCACACTGGTGTCCTCAAGCTTATGGAACCCAATCTATTGCTCGATACCTTATCTGTATATGTATTATATTAATTATATTCATACCATATAATACATGTAATATAATACTATGTTTATTCTGTGAGATGGTTTCTATGTATCACGTATGGTAATGACGAGATCGATGTATGATGGTAAGTTACAGATCAACGGCCCAGGCAGCGGAGCTACTCCAACTCCGCAATCATCCCTGCCAGAGAGCTCTCTATGACTTCTGGATCACGACCAGTTCTCAGGCTTCACCCACGATTCTCTCCAAGTTCACGCTATCATAAGCACGGCATTCGCATTCAACTTCCCTTGATCCGGGTTATCCATGTGCCTTACCTCTTTCAACCTCATGCTCGAGTTGACACCTCACCAACATGCCGTCGATGGTCTCCCCTCGCAATGAATCGTCACATATACTGAACCAGGTGAAGACCTAATTGACAGTAAGACTTGACGGTTGCTAATATATTGAAATTGTAGATTATCATATCACCGTCGGATGCAGACTACCTGGATCAATTAATACCTTCGATCAGAGAATACAGCGTCGGAAATCGGACGTCTCAGCTGTTACAAACGCTATCACGGTTCGCGAGCGACAAGGAAGCCGAGATAGAGTCCATCTGCAATGCCAATCACCAAGAATTCGTCACTTCGGTCAACCAGCTGCTCCGGATTCGAGAAGGTACTGTCAGCTTGACAGCCGAGATCCTAGACCTCAACCAATCCATCCAGGCCAGCACCGAACGATTGGCCGAGCAGAAAAAGGCCCTGGTGGAATCGCGGAATCATAGACAAAACATCGATGAAACCTTCCGGGCTATTCAGGACTGTCTCGAGGTCCTCCGGCTGGCAAATCAGGTTCACGGACTGCTGGCGAAGAAGAATCATTATGCTGCGCTTCGCGCCCTTGAGGAGCTCCAGGAAGTCCACCTCAAAGGAATGAGCCAATATAAAATTGCCGACATGATTCAGCGTTCCATTCCAGCGACCCAAAGAGCGATAGCCGAGGCCGTGATGTCTGATCTGAACACATGGTTGTATAGAATTCGAGAGATGTCACAGTATCTCGGAGAGATCGCCCTATACCATACGGGTGAGCGGAAATCACGGCTGCAAGAGAGGGCCGAAAAGATGCCGTATCTTGGGCATTTCAAATTGAACTCGGCCATCGAATTGGTTTCTGATGAACATGAGGAGTATGACCTTTTGCACAACGAGGAACTTCAAGTCGATTTTACTCCGCTCTTTGAATGTCTGCACATCCACCAATCGTTGGGTCAAATGGACAAGTTCCGGATCGAATACGCAAATACCCGACGTCGACAAAAGGAGCTGCTGCTCCCTGCATCGATAACCCTGATCGATGAAGATCGGTCTAGTTTACACAGTCTCCACAATCTCCTGGAAGAAATGGCGGGTTTTGCAATTGTGGAACGCTCTACGATGAAGCGAGTGCCTAACCTGAGATCACCCGTTGACGTACGCCCCTGTCTACCTAGTTCTCGCATCGCTTTAATAGACTATTTCTGACCATTCCGAGCAGGTCGATGATCTGTGGGACTCCATGTGCCAGGCTGCTATCACACTGATATCAAATGCCCTGCCGGAAGTTGATAACGCTGAAAGTTTGTTGAAAATCAAAAACCTCATCGCATTATTCATGCAAACCATGAACGTTCGTCGCATCTATGGCCGTTCCTATTGTCCCACCGTTTCTGATTTGTCCACAGACATGGGAATTCCCCGTTCGGATGTTTGATGAATTCTTATTGACCCTGTTCAAACGGTATGCGGATTTGCTCAAGACCAGATTCAGTGACGACTTTCAAGAGGTAACTTGCCACCCAAGTCGCGTTTCCCATGATGCTTGTACTTACTGTCCACGAAAGATCGTGTCCACAGATGATTATATGCCCATGCCAATCCAGACCCCGGAGGAGTTTGATAAGGTCCTCAATGTCAGTTGGTACAATCCCGAGAGGCCACGGGAAGAACAAACGTATGTGTTATCCCCCTCTGTCTTTTTCATCTCTTCTAGGATGAAGCTTAATGGTTTTCCAAGGTTCCCGTGTGTCTTGCCGTTTTCGCAGATGTATCCCCTGTGCTGTATCGACATCAGGAACTTCCTGAATCAATTCTACTTCTTTGCCACAGATGACTTTCCCTATCCCAGTGTCATTGACGAAACACTCAAAGATGTGAGTATTGGAGCCGAACACTGTAAAAGTCCTGGACACTGATCGAACCAGGCACTGGATGAACTTCTCTCGGAGCGCGTTTGTGACACGCTCGTGGAGCGTCTTGCCTCTCAATACCTTGGCCAAATCGTTCAAATCCTCATCAATCTTGAGCATTTTGAACTCGCGTGCCATGAGCTGGAATTGCTTCTTGCTGCGGCGAGGTCACAGAACTCCGCTGGCGGCCCCGTGGAGTTGAAAGCCACTAAAAAATTCGAAAGCAATACGAAGGTCGCGGAAAAACGTATCTTCGAAGTAGTCAATTCGAAAATTGACGATCTCATCGAAACTGCAGAATACGACTGGGTGGCCGCTGTGCCTCCCACAGAACCCAGCAATTACATGCAGACGCTCACTCGGTTCCTTTCCAACATTATGAACTCCACATTACTCGGCCTGCCGGCAAGGATCAAAGAGCTCATCTACTTCGATGCTCTCAGTCACGCAGCGAACATGATTCTCGTATGTATCCTGTCGCGCCTGAGAATCGCTTTATACACCATTAACTCGTCGGTCTAGGCACTTCCGCTTTCCACGGAAGTAAAACGGATCAATCCAAATGGCGTCATGGCCCTTGCAAAAGATGTTGAATATCTGTATCAATTTGTCGATAGCCTTGGGGTCCCGATCCTTCGAGAAAACCTCGACGAGCTTCACCAGACGGTACAGTTGATGCAAGCCGAGAACACTGATGAATTTTATGATATTTCTACACGAAACAAGAAGTATGGCCGTGTCGACGCCATCAACGGGCCCATTCTTCTGGAGAAGTAAGTTCCAGGTGAACCTCGCGCATTACACTATGTAACTAACCGAATTGCAAAACAGGGTCACCCGCAGTGTTCAACAACAAAGTCCAGTAAAGACTGATAAGTTTTCAACACTTTCTTCACGATTTAAGAAGTCCTAGATGCGGAGAATGACTTTCGGTTGTTACAAAAGGCCCGCACACTCTTATTCACTACACTGGGTGTATCTCACGTGTATATCAAGGGCTCTTGTCCATAACAATAACAATCAATGCTCTCATTGGTCACTCAACGTTCATAAATGAAGAAATCCAAGTCCGTCACGCAGCGCATAAAAAGAAATACAGTAGACCATAAAAAGGGTAACAATAAAACCGGGATATCAGGTTTGCCAGACATTCACTGTTATAAAGGTTAGCCATCGGACAGCCTTGAAGAGGTCCCGGAAGGATGATATAACTTACCTGCTGCGGAGGCAGATGAGAGTATGCATACATGCCTTCAAACATTTGGGGTTGCGGCTGTCCATAAGCTGCAGTTGGGTCTGACTGCACCGGACCTGCATACATGGTGGGCTGCCGGTATTCCTGGTCCTGGAGACCGTGCTGCCCCAAAGCGTACTCCGGCGGAGCCATATGGTGCTGGACTCCGTGCTGAGAGGGCGGCATCTGCCCTGGAGCGCCCGCTGGCCCAGTTGGGCCGGCGGGGGCAGCGGCCTGGCTGGATCGCTTAGCGTGCGACGTGGCCTCCTCGCGAGGGACTATGTCAATGAGAAAATCAAACATGTCAGACTTGGACAAGGCAGCGGCAATGTCCGACCGTTGCAGAGTGCGCCGCTTGTTATCCTCAGCATGGATCCATGCCCTCATGGTCAACTCCGTGATGAAGATGTCACAGCCCTTCGCGAACAAGATGGGTGCTTCCGCGGATATCATCTTCACCTCGGGGTCTGCTTTCATCACCTTCTTTATGCGGGCTAAGGGCAACTGGTGGATCTTGTAGTCGTGATTATCTGATTCGAGGTGGTTGATGATGTGCTGCCAGTACGTCGTCAGGATGTCTCGGGCCGTTCCCTGCAGTCCCTGGTTGACCTGTGCCTCGTTAGCTTCGCAATGTAGTGGGAGGCATTGGTAGGACGTACATTAGCCCAAGTCCCGGTATATAGCTCGGCTACGGGCGCGTAGCCTTGCGCGGAGAGCTGGATTGAGGTCAGCTATGTCTGAATGCCACCATGTATGTCATATATGTCTTAGTCAAGGACGAGAGGATAGGCATACCGCAGCGCTGGCACCTAAGAGTTACGCATGTTAGCTGGAGAGAACCATAAGATCAGGGCGCTTGTATGAGGGCGTCGGCTTACCGTAATGACCGCCATTCCGGGTGTCATACACGGGTTGCTGTCGGCCTTGCTGTTGTCCGGCGTTTTGCGCAGCTTGTTCCATGATGATAGTATCGCGTGAGTCGCACAATCAGCGTCGGTTATTGTAAGGGTATGTTGCGAATCGTCGGGTCACTGAAACGGCTATATCTGTCGCGTAGGCAGAGACGGAAAGCAAGGAGAAGCGGGGTTGATTGCGGTCTGTCCAGACTAGATCATAGAAATTCGCGGTTTGTTATAGTAGGCGACTGGCGTCACTCGATGGCAGCAAACTAGCAAGCGCACCACTGAGTTGGCTGTGGTGATGACGTTGAAGGTTAGGTAGGTACAGAATGCCTCGTATGCGGTCGCAGCTGCGCGCGACTAAGCACCACACGCCAAGCTCTGCCTGATGTTGCGGAAAGACGCGGGGAATAGGGGGCTTAGTAAGGTATTCCCATGCAACCTGCCTTTCTCTCGGAAATAAACTGGACCAAAAGGATGTATATGGCTAAGTTCTTCTGAAGTAGAGGTAGGGATATAGAGCAGTAATTGAATGTATCACCGGAATACTTCTATCAAGGCTCTGATGGTTCTTGATTGGGTTTACTTGGATATTGCCAATGGTGATGCGTACCTACAATACCACTACGGAGTGAATACTTGTACTGGCCTTACTGCTGTAATTATGTCCGGTTACATAAGGTAACATCGATCACAACTCTGTAACAAAGCTATTTGTGCATGCTGAGCCATATATGCTGCTATTGATCAGAATGAGGCTGGTCAGAATCATAGTAGGTAGGCTCTAGATTTACTGAAATCAAAGTCTTTAGGGTTTAATAACTTGGGGCTATACTCGTGCATCTAAGGTACCTGGAGGAGGTATCCTAGGTAATTACTCTAAATGGTTAGCGCGCTGTCGAGTTGCGCGCCCCACACAGAAAATTTTCCCAGCGCGTAAATTTCTCGGTCTCTCTTAGCAACATATAAGAAGCAATTTTCTTCCTTCCCAGTTCTCTTCTTGCTTCTAGTCCTCCACTTCCTTCTCCTTTGCTTGGCTTCTGGACTCCCAAAGCCTTCATCATGGAGGCAGCAATCAAACAATCTGCTACATCGCAGGCTCAGGAAGATTGTATGGCAGACGATGATATTCACCGGTTACTTCTTGAGGCTGAGGAAAGGTTGCGAGCTACGAAAACCACGAACGATAACACTGATGCCTTAGTGCCAAGGTATGCAGATCAGATTCCATTTCCCTCGCATCCATCTCCGGGTCTTGTCCTGCGTCTGACCTGAAGACTAACATTGTGTGCGCGAAGCGTTCCGAAGCTCTTACCAGACACTTCCCTCCAACCATATGTCCGCCAGCAAAATGATGTTGCAACGGCAGATCCCTCTGCTCGTATTCCTCATGATCTCAAAAAGAATGCAGCCAACACGTCGGAGTTGGCGAAGGTCAATCCAGTGAAGGGCCAAGCGCAGAAAAAGGTAAGACCCCAGAAAATACCCGGTCCCTCGTCACCCCCGTTGCTATGAGGAAAATATTCCCATCGCGAAAGCCCTCGATGCAGCTTCCACAGCCCGTACTGGGCTGCGCTGCGCCAATGAGAGTTCTATTTTTCATAGTTACTCTGAGCAACGACAAACTTTCTTGTCTTTTTCAACCAAGCTCTATTGGGATGAATGCTAATCTCAATGCTCTAAAAGGAAAAACCCACCGCAGGTGACGATTGGTTCAACCTTCCCAAGACCGAATTAACCCCCGAACTCAAAAGAGACCTCCAAATGCTCAGGATGCGATCCGTGCTAGACCCCAAAAGACATTACAAGAAGGAAAACGGCAAATTCAAAGTTCCTACCTACTCCCAGGTGGGAACCATCATCGAAGGCCCAACAGAATTCTTCAGTGGCCGCATCGCCAAGAAAGACCGCAAGAAGACATTCGTTGAAGAAGCCATGGTTCAGGAGAGGGAGACTCGTCGTTTCGAGTCCAAATACAGAGACATCCAGGCTGCGAAGCAGAGTGGTAAGAAGTCTTACTACAACAAGCTGCGAGCCAAGAGGAACACCAGAGGCAAGTGAAGCGCATATCTATCGATATATATCGGGCGGTAAACTATGTCACATGAAATCCCTGTTCGGCCTCTACCGACGTTGAACAGTGTCCGGGGCCACCTGCTGAACCACTGAGAGTGTCACTGGTGAACAATGTTGGAGACAGCCCGTACAACGAGTCGCTGTTTCGATGTTATCCTCCGCGCAGTTCAAGGTAACGTTGGAGACTTACCTGCATATCTATAGCAGCCAGGCGGCCAGCCTCAAGAACCTCTTCGTGGTTAGCCTTGCCTTCTTGAAGGATGGCATCCAGCTCCTTCACGTCTTTTCCCTCGAGGAGACCATCATCTCCACGAGGAACAGGAGCCAGCACAGCGTTGTTTGTCACCAGACTGAGTGCCAGGACACGAATACCACAATGTCTGGCGACCACAATCTCTGGGACCGTGGACATCCCAACCACGTCGGCGCCCAGTTGACGCAGCATGCGACACTCGGCTCTTGTCTCGTAGCTAGGAATTTCAGCGGGGTCCTTTGATAGCGGTTGTGGGCATGTTGATATGTGATCGTCGCAACTCACCTGGGACCTCCGACATAGGCATACACTCCTTCGTGCAGTCTTCTCTTACTCAGCGGGTCTACCACCGTTTTCCAGGCTTTATGCACATGGCGACGGAGCTCGAGATCGTATGCATCGGACAAAGGAGGGAAACGAGGGCCAAATTCCTCGTCGTTGGGTCCCCGCAGCGGATGATTGCCTGCCAGACCGGACAGGAAAATGTGCTTTGCTATGTCAGTAAACCACTTTGTCATAGAACCACGGTAAACTTGCATCATTCAGCAGCACAATATCGCCTACTGCGTAGTTTGGATCCAGACCGCCAGCCGCGTTTGTTACTTATCGATAGTGTTAATGGAGGCAAGAACCCTTTCAGTATCAGAAGCTTGAACTCACAAACAACTGTCTCAACACCCAACAGCTTAAAAACACGAATTGGGAACGTAACCTGGTGGATGGAATGGCCCTCGTAGTAACTGTAGAAGGCACATATCAGTGTCTACGCTATAGCAACACTGGTCAAGGATTTTCTTACTGAGCGCGGCCAACCATCAACACAACCGGGATGTCTTCACCCAGAAAGCCAAAGACCAGCTTGCCAGCATGTCCAGGAACTTGACCAGTAAGTACAGGGGTCTTTCCAGGCAAGGGGGAGCCGCCAACTCTTACCTGTCAGTTTGGGGAAATGAGGAATAGATCCGTAGTCGTATTCTGCTCGTGGGTGATCACGGATGCTGTCAGCAAGGCCTCCCAGACCAGAGCCGCACACAATAGCCACCCGTGGGCTCTGTAGTTCTGCCGGTAGACGGTCTTTGAGGGACTGGACGGCCTGTTCTGCCTGCTGATATGAAGATAGACCCTTGGGTAGTTCAGACATCTTTTCCTTGGTTCCGTCCACTGTTCCTGACTCTTTCGCTTTCTCCGACGAGGCTGGTATGTATTGAGAGCGAAGTTTCTATAATGACTCTGTTCCGAGGCCAACGGTGGGGGAATCTGTAATCTTTAAGCCCTAGCGACCATACTACTCTCTCCTCAAAACCAATTTAGCTAATGGGGACCATCGTATTACCTAATCATGAAGTTGCAGCCAGGCTGTGATGAGGGACGAGGGCGGTGAAGCCCGTTGGCCAGTCACGGCAACTCGGTGCAAAAAAAGTGTCTCCGTCGACGCGCTTGCTCCGATCAGAGGCCGCAGGAGAGTCCAAGCAGCCTCATATCATCATTCCACCACGAAAGACATCTGTCTGCATTGGGTTGTCAGCAAAGATGTTCTCATACGTCAATCGCCGACTACTGGCGAACACTACGAAACAGTTACAGGTACCAATTCAACTCCGACAGACCTCATCCACAGTCTAATTGTCTGGACAGTCCGCGGTTCCTTGTCGCACCTTCAGTTCCTCGAGCATTCCCAGTCTGAATGCATCCACGCACTTGGCTGAACAGCCCAACAAGTGAGGCCTTTTCCGAGTCTTCGCCCATCTCACCTACCTAACGTCGAGTCCGTCCAGATCAGAGAACGCCGAACAGTCCTCGAACCCGTCGGTAAAATCATGGTCAGTCCCGATGCAATATGCAGGAGTCGCCCTCCAACGACACAAAAATACTTACACCATGCGAACAGGACCGAGCGTCTGGATAGCGTTGGTCAGAAGACCCGCCTACCCCGGAGCGTCCAGGCAATATACATGCGCCCCCTGCGGAGGAAGGCCGAATATGGTTTGCCCGTGTGCGATCTGCAGTTGAGATCGTACAGTGTGCGAAACGTGGAGTTCTTCGCCGACTTTGCCATTCGCGCTGCGTATTACCTGAAACTTCCCGTCTCTGGGCCTGTCCCTCTCCCGCGCATTGTTGAACGGTGGACGTTCCCTCGAAGCAACTTCGTGCACAAGAAGAGCCAAGAGAACTTTGAGCGCATAACGCTTCGTCGACTCATCCAGATCAAGGATGGCCATCCGGATGTGGTACAGGCTTGGTTGGCCTTCCTGCGGAAGCATGCGTTTTATGGCGTCGGCATGAAGGCCAATGTCTGGGAACATGAGAGCCTCGGTATAGTAGCATTCTTGTCATTCTTTCATGGTATGGTCACTAATAATGTGCTCGGTGCAGATGTCGCGAAGCGTATGGACGAATCTGTCGGTGAGATTGAGAAGTCGCTGGAGCCTTATATGGAGCAGTTTGGGCAACGGACGGATATGGAATCTCAGAACGATCTCCTTGACCTCCTCAAGAATGAGCGTTTTGTTCAGAACAAGGGTCCTCTGACCAGCGTTCGCAGCGGCTGATGGCCCATAATACCTCGTTCTTATTTTCTCAGCAAAGACTTGTACAATCACTGCCATGTTGTGTTTAGGGAGCTTTTTCACTGTATATCAATGATACTATCTAGAACTTGTCATTAAATTATCACATACAATGTCGCCATTTTTCTCCATTGGATATGGGTCATTTATCTATATTATTCTCCTTGCAGCTCTTGTTCACGCCCGATATACTCCGTTAGAGATGGGTATGTTATCAACACGTGACCGCGGAAATAACTTCATCGATGGGCCGATTTTACTATTTGAAATGCAGCATTTTGGCTGCCTCCACGGGACGCAATTGAGGGACAATGCGTTCAAATAGTATGCGCCTCTCTGGGCCCAAGGGGACCTCATTGTATAGACAGAATCGGCGTCGCCTGCGATTACACAGTCTTCCATGCCTACATAATCGCCTTCGGAGATGGAATAGCTCCGCCTCTACACAAACCCCGACATCTACCACTGGCGCTCCGGTCATATTTTCTGGAATTCAGCCGACAGGAGTGCCGCATCTAGGGAACTATTTAGGTGCATTGCGCGAATGGGTCCGGCTGCAGGACAACGCTACGGAAGGGACCAAGCTAATCTTCTCTATCGTCGACCTCCACGCCCTGACCTTACCGCAGGATGCGCATCAACTGAAGACATGGAGAAAGGAGTCGTTCGCGACACTGTTGGCTGTGGGCCTCGATCCCAATCGATCAACCATATTCTATCAATCCAACGTGAGCGTCGCATCTATGAAGTTGACGGCCACTTGCGAAGTTACTGACCATCTTCCAGGTTCATGCCCATGCTGAATTATTCTGGATCCTGAGCTCGGTAGCGTCTATGGGTTACCTGTCGCGGATGACACAATGGAAGGTGAGCGCTTACATTGACTAAAAGTCCAACATGTTTGTCTAGGCCGGGCGTTGACCCTATATGTAGAGCAAACTCCAACTCCCTGAAGATACGAATCTGGATGATTCGGCGGCCCGGTCCAAGCTCCGTCTGGGCCTCTTCTCGTACCCTGTTCTCCAGGCCGCGGATATTCTAGTGCACAGGTTGGTGGCCGAGCCGCATCACGCACGACAGTGACACTTTGTGCTAATCTGGAGCAGGGCCACACAAGTTCCCGTCGGCGAGGACCAGAAGCAACACTTGGAATTCTCCAAATACACGGCCAACAGCTTTAATCATCTCTACGGGTCTATCTTTCCCCTCCCGGAAGCGCTCATCTGTAAGGCCCATGACATATCACCCCCCGATGCGATACGGATTTGAGCAGAGAGGCTGACTCCGCGTGATTTCACAGCGCCCGCCAAGCGCGTTATGTCTTTGAAAGAGCCGACTCTGAAGATGTCGAAATCCCACGCGGACGATCGTTCCCGGATTCTCCTCACTGACAGTCCGAGCGATATCCATAAGAAGGTCAAGGTTGCGCTCACAGACTCCATAGCGGGCATCACGTACGATCCGTCTCATCGACCTGGGGTGTCCAACCTCATCGAGATTTTGAGTCACCTTGATGGGAGGTCTTGCGAAGAGCTGGCACTGGAGCACCAATCAACAAGCCTGCGAGCGTTCAAGGAGCATCTTGCGAATCGAATCTCCGACCACCTAGAGCCTATACGGGACAGATATCAGTCTCTGATGCATGATAAGACTGGATATCTCGAAAGCGTGGCAGAACAAGGCGCTAAGTCCGCACGCGTCAATGCTGACGTTACCATGAGGGCGGTCCGGGAGGCCATGGGGTTATGAACTATCACCACTGTACATTAAAGTCTCTGAACATGCAAATTAGCACGCTATAGAAGAAACCTCCTGTGTCAATATTTTGGCTCGTGTTACCGAGTAGATGTTCGACCACTGGATGGACTGGAACATAAGCAATCAAGGCAGAAGACAGTTGAATAATGCATTGTTGCAGGTTTGGATAATAATACTCGGTAATATTGCAGCCTAGTTCGCCGTGTTGCCCCCATCATCAGTGGTTCCAAAGCCTCCGAGCTAGCCGCTTTGCGGTCACTGCCATCCGCCACTCGGCCCGGAGTACGAGGCGCTTCTGCACGAAACCAACCATGAATGGTTTCCTGCGGAGTATATATACTTTAGGTAGTCCAGGACACGAAATGATAAAGTACGTAGCTTTGTTGAAGGAGGCTGTGCGGGTTCCTCGAACTATTTGCGACCCGTCAGAATCCCAAAGAACCACAATAATCACTGTATAGTACTCCGTAGTGATCAATAGAATCGGATAGTTGACTGCTCAGCCCCACCGAACTCATCATTACTCGGCACGATGACGACGACATCCATGCAGAACCCAGGCGGCCTGGCAGCAGATTGGGTCGTGGTGACCGCCATCCGACTTTCCGAACTGGTCTCGGTGGGGCCCCCAAATGCTCCAACGATCCCGAGAAGATCATCAGCCCAAATGCGCCCCGAAGTGACTTCGTCTGGACCCGCCCACCAGGAAACGAAGACGTATACGATCTTACTCTTTTCTTTGGATCCCATCCGGAGTACAAAAAGACCATTATGCCCCTCCGAGGTTTCCAGTTGGCAGCCATTTCGAAGGCTACTCCCTTCCCTGCCGTCCTGCGTTACACGCCCGCCCTCCCCGGTCTCTGCTGAAGCCGATAGGATACTCCGTTTTGAGGCCTCGTACCTCGCTGTCTCGTGCGCCTTTCTCGGGTACAGCTGCGTTGGTGGACTGTTGGTGGACTGCGGTGGATTCACTTACCAGAGACGAACTTCCCCGTTGGACGGATCACAAGATGAAGTGGGCAGCGTGGCATTGTTTACTCGCCGCTTCTCTGCTTTGGCAGAACACGGAGGCCCTCACCCTTCATAGGAGAGAACTCCCTGCGGTTGTTTCTCTCGATATCAAGCGCAAAGATGTCTCAGACCCTGTTGCGAGGGATCGGGTAAGGCGGAAGCGGGACAAGACCGTCTCGCAAGCTCTGGACAATGAGGTATGTGGCCTTGCATTCACCCTACCTGCGATCGCTTCTTCTAACTTGCCGATGCCTCATGTAGGAAACGCTTTACTTCTGCAATATCACCCTCGGCACTCCACGGCAAAGTCTACGCCTGGTTCTAGACACTGGAAGCAGCGATTTATGGTGCAATGCTGCAAATTCGACGCTATGTGAATCCTCCAGCGACCCGTGCAGCGCCTCGGGGTCATATAATCCAGACAAATCCTCGACTTATAACTTTGTATCGTCGGACTTCAACATTTCGTATGCAGACGGGACCGGTGCTGCCGGAGACTATGTCACCGATACTCTACATATTGGCGGGGCCACTATTAAGGACTTTCAGTTCGGGGTCGGGTATTACTCCGGCTCTTCGGGTAAGTTGGAATCCAATGTGGTTGTCTTTGAGGTCCTGGAGCTTCAGGTAAACTAACGTTTCCTTCGTTGTCCACAGAGGGCGTTCTAGGAATTGGATACCCGTCCAATGAAGTACAAGTCGGTCGCCTCGGCAAATCGTCCTACCCAAACCTCCCGCAGGCAATGGTGAAAAATGGCCTGATCCGATCGAATGCATACAGCCTCTGGTTAAACGACTTGTCAGCCAGCACCGGTTCGATCTTGTTTGGGGGCGTCAACAAGGCAAAATACCACGGTGAACTCCAAACTTTACCAGTTCAACCCGTCAATGGTGGCTATTCGGAGCTCCTCATCGCACTGACCGCCGTTTCCATCAAATCCGATTCAGACAGTCAGAACTATACGTCGGATGCCCTGCCCGCCGCCGTCCTCCTCGACAGCGGGAGCTCTCTGACTTATTTGCCCAACTCTATTGTTGAGGAAATCTACAATAACCTCGGTGTGGTTTACGAATCGTCTAGTGGGGTGGGGTTCGTGAAATGCAGCCTGGCGGAAAGCAGTGTCAAGCTCAGCTATACCTTTTCGTCGCCCACTATCAATGTTGGTATCGATGAGCTTGTCATCGATGCAGGCGACATTCGGTTCCGAAACGGTGATAGGGCATGTATCTTCGGGATTGCTCCGGCAGGAAGTAGCACTGCTGTTCTCGGTGACACGTTCTTGCGGAGTGCGTATGTTGTGTACGACTTGGCCAACAATGAAATCTCCCTGGCCAACACAAACTTCAACTCGACAGACGATGACATCGTGGAAATCGGGACTGGCGACGATGCAGTGCCGGGAGCCACCAACGTCGCCAACCCCGTCACCTCTGTTGTTGCTGATGGCTCGGGCGCTAGAATTGGAGGCCCAACGGGGGGAGTCTTCACTGATCTACCATCGGCAACAAGCTCAGGCGCCGCGGCACCGGCAGGACCAACGGGCTTCCCAGCGCACCTGGCTTTTGGTGCGGCGGCTATTGGATATGTGTTGGCTGCTTGAGGCCTTGGTTGTAGGTGGCCTGCTGATACCCCGGAATTCCCTCTCTTTTCATTTTCCGAAGATACCAATGCGTTTCAGGGTCTATATTAGATGTACATGGTTTTCAATTGAACAGTGGGAACGCAGGGTACATATATAGTTAAGATCTTGAACATTATGATTATACGGCTCTTTTTTTACAGCGTCTCGTTATCTTATTACTTCCAATACAAGCAATATAGAATTGTAGAAATTCCCACCATGGTACATGCTACCTAGGCTAGACGAGAACAATTCGTGGTATGGGGCTGGTCGTCTACTCCGTAAGCTAGCGGAGTAGATCAGTTCCCCACTCTCCAAAAAATTGGAGTATCTTTCCGCAACACAACGGTCCCTTTCCATATCAGCTAGATGCGTCCATGTCCCGACTACCAGGCTTGCCTTGATATTCTTTTCTTTCTCGACAGTACAATCCATGCCCCGGCTATCCAATGCAACAATCATCAGGGCGTACCAGCGAAACAACCTCCTCCCCCTCCTCCTACCACAATGTCGCACGATAGAATCTGCTCAAAATGAACTGCGCTGGCTTCAAGAACGGGTCAGACGTATGCAACGCGAAACGGGAATTAATAAGACTGGTGTGCATGTCCGCTGGAACAAAGTCTTGAGATCAATGTGCCATGCACGATCCAAGGGGCTGCCACTTCAGTACATTCTTGGAGACCAACCGTTTGGAGACCTCGAGATTCTATGCAGAACAGGCGTTCTCATTCCTCGGTAGGAGCAATCTTTCTCTTCTCTTCATCGGTGGTGCCTTGCTATACCTGCCATCTGCCGCAGTGGTCGATTTGTTCGTTGCTGACTCATTTGTAGTCCTGAAACCGAAACGTTCACGCTGCATGCTGCCAAACTGGCGCTAGACCTCTACAAAAATCAGGTTAACGCCAATAGCGCTGACAGCGCCAGTAATACACGGCGCCTTCGCATATTAGATCTCTGCTCCGGGACTGGGTGTATGTCGCTACTGCTGCATTCCGTCCTCGCGCAATGCGTCGAGCAGATGTCTATCGTCGGCATTGATCTCAGTCCCACGGCTGTCAGGTTGGCCACTGATAATCTTGCACATAATCTGCATCTTGGGCTGCTCTCTAGTCGTGCGAAGTCGGATGTCCATTTCAGACGGGGAGATGTTCTCGGAACTCGCCATGGCGGCCCTCCTGGTATAGCGGATATACTCCGCCAATTCCCAGAGTATACGTCTGAAACAGGTCCGCAGTGTGATGTCCTGGTCTCAAATCCTCCATATATCTCCCCTCGGTCATTTTGGGACGGCACCACTGCGCGTAGTGTCAGAATCTTCGAGCCTAGACTTGCCCTGGTACCGCCTTCCTTGCCTAGTCCCTCGGACAGGAAGTTCACCAGACAGGAAGACTTGTTCTATCATGTGTTAGTCGAGCTGTTCTTCAAGCTCCGTGCAAAGCTTGCTGTGTTCGAATGTGGAAGCCGTCTGCAGGCGGAGCGCGTGGTGAGTATCCATGACGATATCGCAGGCAGGCTCCAACAGGGCAGTCGATTCAAACCCCAGATATTGTGTGACTCGAGCACGGAGACTGGCTCAGACGTATCTTGTGATGCCGGACCGTGCGCTGTGATTTTACAGCAGTCCACAATACTATGATTGGGGTGGTAGATATTACCGTTTACGTTGTATCGATCATATCTAGTAAAGGTTTTTATAAGAAGTATGAGTGTTTAATTACTCCGCAGCTGGCTTAATTACAGATCAACTCGCCCTTGTTATATACAGTGAAAGACAACATACGTCATTCCGAGTACCTCAACCTGCTTCTGCCAAGAAGCTATCCAGAGAAGACCCAATCGTACTATAGGAAGCATATCAGGTTCATTGCCGAGCTCAATGTCAAGGACAGCCGGCTCGCTAGCTTCTAAAAGCCATCATATTTCATCCTCCAGGTCTTGTAGACGGGCGCAATGACGTCCCAAGCAGCCCATACTCGTCGCTAGAAGGGTAAAGTCCGGATTCTGAGGCCGGGCACACGCAGAACGGCCATCGCAGTAAGTCTGCTGGTATTGTAGCATCATTTTATGCCCGTGGTCATCAAATACGATGACTTTAATGGGAACCTTGTATCGTGAAGCAAGCTGTCAGTAGCTCCTCCATTGTCATGTTGAACGATGCGTTTCCATCCAGATCGATCACTAATGCGCCAGGAGAGCCCAGCTGGGCGCCAATCGCCGAGGGCAAACCGAAGCTCATTGTGCCCATGCTTCCCGAAGTTATGAATATTCTTGAAGCCCGCCAGCAATAGCTTCGAGCCGCCCACAGTTGGTGCTGACCCACGCCAGTGGAAATAATCGCTCTCACAGGCCGCTGGCGAAGTTGCCCATCAAGCTCAACCACGACATCATGAGGCAGAATCTGCGTATGGCCATCATCTCGGACCCCATCTGGAATCGGCGGGAAGGGATTGCTCTCTTTCCATTCTTGGATTTGGGTGAACCAGGAGCCTCGAGATTTCGGAGGATGGACATGCGATATCAAAACCGGCAAGGTGCCTGTTAAGTCTCCATAACAGCACCGGTAGTCTCGACGACTTTATTCACGTTTTCTGGCTTGATGTCTAACTGAATGATCCCTCCACAGTTGTCACGTCCTGCCACACGTGCCTTCGGTGCGAACTGTGTAGGATCCCCAACTGCGCGCTCATCAAGTCTGGCACCTAAAGCCAGAATCAAATCAGCGTTCTGTACAGCATAGTTTGCATACACTGCTCCGTACACGCTCAGCATGTGGATTGGCTCCGGTCGACTTTCGTCAAAGCTCCCTAAGCCGAGAAGCGTAATGGCGATAGGTATACGAGCTTTCTCTGACAATTGAAAAAGCAGTGCTGGCCCATCCGGACTGCAGATAACACCACGCCCTGCAATGATCACTGGTTGTTTCGCACGACTACTCAACTGTGCTGACCGACGAATGGCCTGCTCGGTTTGCTCTGAAACTACGCTTTCTGTGGTGTTGATGCCGGGAATGTCTTAATCTTTCGGTCCATAACATTTTAAAGCCTTTTGGTATGCTTCACTGCTAAAAGTGGCTGAGCCGACGTCCTTAGGAATAGCCACTAGCACCGGGCCATGCCGCCCGTGAGTAGATTGTTTGAAGGCCGTCTGCAGAGACGATGGCAACTCCTCGATTGCCTTTACCACAGTAACCCACTTTGTGCATGGTCTAGCAAAGGCCTGAACATCGATTTCCTGAAAGACGTTGGTGCCTTGCGCAGTTGACTCGACTTTCCAACAGATAGAAATCATGGGATTCCCATCTAAGAGCGCATTCAGCATGGGAGTCGCTAAATTAGAGGTGCCAGGACCAGATGTCACAAGCACTACTCCCGGCTTGCCTGTTGCCTGACTGTATTCCTCTGCCATGTGTCCGGCACCTTGTTCATGGTGCGTAGGTATAGATTGAAACTTGTCGGTTCCGTATATGCCATCAAATAAAGGAAGTGCAGCTCCACCGGGGTAGCCAACTGCACGGAAAATCAGTTATTATTCAGCAATCGTGGCTGGACTCGTTAGGAGTATGACTTACAGATATATTCCACTCCCCAGGTAGAGAGGATATGTTCAAGAATGTCACCACCTCTGCGCCCAATTAGCCCCTCAAGGTCTGTGTCTCTCATGCTGGAAGGAAAGCGGTAATATGTGCAGGGAATTCAGACGGTCAACAATCAGTAGCATATGTATATCCTGGCTTTGACAGAAATTGATTTGAGAGGCAACAAGCTGTATATGAATATTAAGTCCAAACGTACTAGGGGCGCACCAAATAGTCCATATGAACATCTAATCGCGCTCCTCGGATCTGGCGTACCAATATCCCAAACACTCTGGCCAGCTCTGCCTTCAGAAGGCCTGTTATCATAGATCTGCAAATATGAAACTGTCCTGTGGCATAAGAAGTATGACAGATATGGTAGGTAGTTTATTGTTCTACAGCCATCCTGCCGAGTGCCCTGTCCTTCGTTGCCTGGGAGCTGGCCACTACTCCCTATTGATGTAGATTCCTGCGGGTTACATAAGAGGGAAATCATCCAAGGTTATATAGTAGTTTGCCTAGTATAAATAGAGTAATATATTAGCTAGTTATTTTTATTACTATACTAGGATTAGTAATTGTACTATTAATCTTATATAGTTATACTTATAGAAATATAGATAAGAATTTTAATAATATCTAACTAATATATATATTAAAGTGGAATTTAGAATTTAGATAATAGATCTAATAATAAAACTTCTTGCTAATAAAATTACTAGAAGAAAACAAATAAATAAAGATTTTATCGAATCAAAAATAATTAGTTTTAAAATACTGCCGGCTTTATAGTAACTCTAATAAAATAATCTATTCTTATATTTTTTTAATTTGATTTTCTAATATTTTCAGTATAGAAGATATACATTATAATCAATTAAATTATAAATTATAGGAAAATATATATTATAGTTATTATACCAATAATAATTATTAGCGATCTAAAAAAAAATAGAATAAAAATACAATAGAATATATATATCAGTACCCCTACCCTACTGAAGGGATAGTAAGCTACTACAGCTATTCTATATAATCTTGGGCTATACTAACAACCCTACTGCTAGTTATTCTTTCTAGAGTCTAGTAAATAATTATATATTTAGTTATTAAATAGTCTTTTTATTATTTTTAATTACTATACTATTAGTTTCTTTACTTATTCTATTTTCCAATATATTAGCTACTATTTTTAATATTTTTATTCGCTCTATTATCTAGCTAATCTATTAAAAAATAGAAAAAAATAATAATATTTTTACCAGATAAACTACTATTTTAATAAACTACTTCTCTAAAGATTTACTAGATTTTATTCTAAAAACTATAGAATCACTGCAGCTAAGTAGTCTTTATTAGAAACTAGCGGGTTCTAAATTTTTAATAACTTTTTCTAGAGATTTCTAATAAAACCCTCAATTAACAATAACAAAATAATAAAATAGCTAAGATAAAAAGAAAAAAATACTAACAGTTAAATTTAAAGAAAAAATAATAAAGATAATCTATAAGATTAAAATAAAATAACAGCATTTAAAAGCTATAAAATAAAGAATTACTTTTTTTTAAAGAATTTTTTTATTATAAATTCTATCTTTATTAATAGAGAAGATTTTTTTTAATCTACTATTTTCTAGAAGAAAAAAAAAACTATATTAATAGGCTTTAGTCTAAGAAAAATTATACTTATAGCTTCTTTAATAATAATAATATCTCTATGTAATATATTAAATCCAAACTATAGAGATAAAAATATAAAGAAATATTGCTATTTTATAGCTTATCTAAATGATTACTTTAAAAGATTGTCGCCGTTCCTAATCATGTATGTAGCCTACCGTAGAACGGAGACACGTCATACCTTATAACAATCTCTAAGTTATTAAAAAAATATTTTTTAGAAAATTAATCTAAAATAATAATTTTAAAAACTATAAAAATAAATTTAAGAACTGCTAGAATTATAAGCAGAACTTCAAGTAGAATTGGTCTAAAATAATCTGCTATGACTATAATTAATCTAGTTATATTACACTAGAATACCTAAAGCCTAGAAAAATATAAAATACAAAAATAATAATATTTAGTTAAAAAACTAGAGAATCTAGAGTTAAGAACAGCGAGAACCCTAGATATAACGATTGAAAATATACTAAAGAATTTAATAAAAATTACTATAAAATTTATAACTCTAAAAAACCTCTGAAAAATATAGGCCATGGTAGATAGCAGTATCTAGACTATTTTAATTAATTAAAAATAGATAAAACAATATTTTTAATACTAAATTTATAAATATTAAATAATACTTAAAATCCGCGTAGCTACTAATACTACTATTTTAATTATTGTTTTAACTATATTTAAAAAATAAAATTTAAATAATTTTAAAAAAATTTTAAGCAAAAATAAATACTAAAATAAATATATAATTTATATTGAAAGCGGCTAAGCTATTTTAATCTATACAAAATAGGTAATTAAACTTATTATATTAATTTTACTATTTCTATAAATATATACTAGTTTAAAAATTTGTTACTAATATTTATACTATCTTATAAAATTTATAAATAAAAAATATTCAGAAATTAATTAATATTTAATAAAATTATATAATAGGTTATTTAATATAAATAAAATAAAATAATATTTTAGCTAGTTACTTTTATTGCTGTACTAAGATTAATAATTATATTACTTAATTTTAGAGTGGGCAATGGCCAGGTGAGGGGAGGTTAAGGACCTCTAGCATAACTTAACCGCAGGTTAACGGTAAGGTTAAATACCTTATTTTTATCTAATCGCAGTATAAAAAAAAATTAAATTAATCTGATTAACTATTCTTAGTGTTAAAAGCAATATATTTTATCTATTTAGACCTAGTCTGATTAAGGTTCTAGTTAGGTTAACCGTATTAATCTTACTATTTCTAACTAATTTTTTAAAAATCTATAATAGAAGCGTTATTTAATTTTTAAAAAAATATTAAAAATAAATAACTATATCTCTTATTTAAATTATTTTTATAAAAATATCTAGACTTTAGTATAGCTAGTAGAATTCTTATTTTTCTATAAAAGCTGGTGTTATCTAGAGATACGGTATAGAAATATATATTAATATATATTTTATTTCCTATTACTAGTATTAATAGTAGATTTAGAGATA